ATGTCAACCGTTAAGACCCTCTTAGTATATGTGGACATAAGTCTTTTTTTAACCTGTTAGCTTCATAATGGTAATTGAATTGAGTGGAGTGCAATTTGACCTGAAATCATACTTGTTCGTTCAAAATCGCGCGAGTTCGATTTTAAATCACAAGTAAGATTTCAGACAAAAATTGCACCACACGATGTCTAGCCTGCCAAAACATTCGTTTCTCCTCGCTCTTCGCCGCTGACCAATTACCACTTTATTACAGCCATTTTGAAATCGCAGAATTCAGTCAGTGATCTAGTGTCCAGTTTGTTCAAAAGTGGAAACAAAAAGGCTTTTACATCCAATTTAGTATTCAAAACAGAAATGATGCGATATAGAACAGAAGTGATGCCATTTAGAACATGGATGATGCGATTTAGAAAAAATGTGATTTAGAGCAAAAAAAGTGCGATTCGTGAATAAATCACACTGCTAAGAGCCAATCAGATTGCAGGTGTGCGATTATCGGAGGCGAAACGAAGAGTGGAGGCCAAGTATATATTCAAGGTTATACTATTTAATTGTTAAAGGAGATTACATGAGCAAGGCCTAAGGTCAACTGAACTATTGTACAATCATATCAGGATATATAAGTCGAGCGCGGTTGCTAAGTAAGAGGATTAAGGGCTAATCCCACAGCAGGGATCACCATGATTTCAAAATTAACGTAATAAGTGGTTAAACCATCGGGTATAAACCCTTACCTGCCTTGAGTAGCCTAGAATTAAGGGGCTCAAACGAACAGCTAGCTTGACAGTCTGTTTTTCCTTGCAATCCGGCACCGTGGCTAAATATAAATTCCAATTCCATTCCATAAAGTTTGATTTCTTTTTTGGTAAAAAATATATATAAATTGCAATTTGTTTACCAACGAAGCAGTCAGAAGTTCTTTGAAACGGACCTTTTATCATGAATTAGATGTGTCCGTCCATTTCAAATCGAATTGGAATTTACAAATATTGGTTTTTCAGAAGAGAGGAAACCGGTCGAAAGCACTTGGGGAAAAACCCGCCTCTCAGTGAAAGGGAGAGAACCAATAACATTAAACTCTACCCACATGTGCCGTGGACGCTGGTATTAATTGTAAGGCGGGCCACAGGAGGAAGGCGAGCGTCTAATTGCCTTCTCGCTTAAATAATGGAGTGGTTATTTCCCTTGCTGGCTTGGATCTTTGATATTGTTTCTAATAGCTCCAATGATGTTTTGACTACTGAAATGCATGTGAATTCATCAATGGTGAAGACTTTCTATGGCAATTGCAACCAATTCTGTTATTGTTAAGAGGGTTGGTTTCGCGTTTTGTCACTGTTTCTACAAAAGTACAACAAATCGTCTGTACAAAATATAAAATATTCCTTAACCCTTTGGTGACAGCCGCGGCGAGTAGCGAAAAAACCGCATTTTTCACCAATTCCTATTCTTTGGACTGATTTTTGGTTAATTAGCATAAGAATGGCTAAAAACGACGATTTCGAACTTTTTTTTTTTTTTTTGGAGAATCTATTTCAATCTTTCTCTCTCGCTCTCTTTTTTCCCTTCTTTTCTTTGTTTATTGGCGGGTTTGTTGCCCGCTTTATCGTCTTTCTTTTGCATGGAATTGTGGTTGGCTAACTTTTTAGGAAAGGAACAGATTTAATATTCAAAGAGTAGTATGTAAAGAGCGAGATTGGCAGTGGATTTTTCCCCAAAATGTTACCTTTTTGTGAGTGGAACTCTGTCAGGATTAGTCAGGATATCCAAAACGAGGTATCGCTGGAAAGATCATTCTTTGCTGACGTTGCTTAAACTGAAAGCCAAATGGGTCCAGGGAGGAATGTATTAACATCGTTCACTATGGGTCGTATATACGACCCTAGCCCTCCGAAAAGGGTTAAATCATCTGGCCTGCCCGATATTCCTATACGTCTAGTTAAGGATGGGGCTGAAGCTTTGGCTAGACCAGCAACGCAACTTATGAACAGAACATTCAATGAAGGAACGCTACCGGTTGATTGGAGACATGCTGTCGTCACGCCGGTTCACAAAGCTGGCTCGAAATCTGACCCCTCGAGTACCGACCATCTCTGTACTTTCTCTTTTCTCCAATATACTTGAACGGGCAGCTGTCCACAGTATGGTTTACAGATATTTACAGGATTACAATATTCTTCTTCGGTAGAATGTTAGACCGATTTTAGAATATGCCGTGCAGGTGTTGCAAGACATTCCTGATTACGTGTCAGATAGAATAGAGTCCGTGCAAAAAGGGCACTTAAAACCATATATCCTAACAATTCGTACAGTAAAGCACTGTCGCTAGCCAACGAAACTAAACTTTCCAACGTAGGCGAGCTGTTATAAATTTATGGCTGAGATGGCAGACACCCGTGACCACCCCATTATCGTGCTTGGTGTCCACTGCCGTACAAAGAACTACTCCTTGTACAAACCTAAACGTAAACTATCTAAGATAAACTTAACATCGATGCAGGTAAGCTTGTTTTAGCTATGTTTTAAACTAGGAATTATTTTGAATGAATAACAAAACGATTATTAAATTCGGCTTTCGTATCATACGAAGAATTATGGGGATCTCGGAGGGTCCTCGATCTCCATAATTTTTCATAAGATACTCGGACTCATTCATTAATTGTTAATTAATAGATAGCTTTAATCCAGCATTATTGTTAGTTATAACCGCTTGTTAATTCAGTTATCTGCAAGAGAGTGGAATAAACGATATTTCATTTTTTTTTTTCTCCTCTCCAATCCAGCTTCCGCCCACTCCGCTACATCTACGTGCCTCACTCAGGTGACGAACACTCTGTTGGAGAACATTAATAAAGGGGTATTAAATGGCCTAATTTTCCTAGACGTTTGTAAGAAGGCCTTCGACACTTTAAACCATAGCATCATGTTAGATAAGTTTTCCAGTGGTTTAGGTCCTAATGTAACCATGCGCATTCAAAGTATTTGTACAGTAGATCGGTAATAAGATCAGGCCAAGTTTAGGTATTCTGCGTCGAGCGCAAAAGGTTCTTCCCAAACCTAATTGTCAGAACCTCTATCAATACTATAGTCTTGCATGCCTTTGTTCGACTACTGTCGTCTGTCTAGGACAGTTGTAGGGTTGGGAACAAATCTTATCTAGATAAGCAAAACAGACGTGCCGCCTGTATTATTGAAGGTCGATCTTTCAGGGCTGACGATTTTAAGTCGACAATTTGGCTGGCTCAGCCTACAAGCGCTTAGAGACTATATATCTGAAGTGCAGGGTTGAATTCCACTGTCGCGTAATCAGTTTACTTGCCTACGTGCGTAAAATTTAGGTTCGCAAATAAAATTGAGGCAATGCATGAACGTTTGCTCGTAAGCGTAAAAGTTGAACCTCGCACAACTTCACGTTTAATCTCAACACTTTATATCTTGCCTCTATTTTTTACGTGATTAAAATTTACGTGCCTTAACGTGCGTAGTCAAACACGCGTCAGTGGAACTCAACCTTTAGTCTTCTTCATGGAGTGGTACCACTGTGCTTATTGTGGGAGTTTAGGGACGCGCACCAAGTTCATAGCTACAGTTAGAAGTCATGGTTTGCTGCGTTCTCCTTTTTACGAAAGCTGATAAGTTCCAAGGAAGCTTTAGAATAAACGGTGCTCCCATTTACAACACTCTACCGGGAAACATCAGACAGATTGAGGCACTCAGTGAATTTAAGATAAAGCTCAGACGCTATCTTATACAATAATACCTGTAATTTTAAGTTATTGGTTACGTAAGTTATAAGTTACTTTTACCTGTACTTTTTAAGTTATTATAATAACTTAATTAATTGTCCAGTCTCTTTTATGTTTTTTTGGCTCCATTTAAACTAACTAAAATCAGTGGGGGCGGCTAATCGGCAGTCGCCTTCGATACCTCGAAAATGTGTGGCTCTGTACCACAGGAACACCAAGATTAGGATGCGTTTTGACAAACGCGATAAATAAAAAAGGCGTTTTACTGCAACTACAGGGATGTACACTGAGGCCTTACACCTTGACTGTTTGGACATTATTTGAAATCACAACTACATGTAAAGATGTTTTAAAGTTAGCAACAGCACCATACCGAAGAAACCATATGACCGCATTGTTGAACATGTACTCTATCCAATGCACAGAATACTTTTTTTAACAACGAGAGAAAACAGCACGTTTATTCTTAAATGTGAACGAATGATAGTCAATGGATATGAGTTCTACCCAGCTCTTAGCGGATGGAGAGTTAAACGCGTGTATTGTATAACCTCCACCCACTTGTAACCGCTCTGTGGTAGTAGCCAACTCGAAAGCTTGGCTCCTTTGGCTGCTACACGCTTTTTTCCTTTGTTATGTTTAATTCAATGTATAGTTAGCTCTGTTTTTACTTCTTTTTTTTTCTTATTGTTGTTGTATTGTAATTGAATAGGTGTGAATAGATAAACTTGAACTTGCACTTGAACTTCCCACCCTGCCGCCAGAGTGCCCCGGAGAGCTTGCTCACAGACTAACAATACGTTAGTCGTTAGTCGTTAGTCATTATACTCACTAATAAACAACAGAGTGGTACGTATATCTACCAGGGTGTGTCTAAGATCAGGGAGTTCTAGCAGGCCCATAGCCACAAGGACTGAACGTTTCTCAAATTTTGTTCGTATTAAATATGAATCTTGTCAATAAATGTAGCGTATTAGTATATATATCACAGCTCGTAAGGTATCCTACAATTCAGTCTTCCGACTGCAAAAGGGACAATAAACCAGTGATTTGATTTGATTTGTTAGCATGCTTCGCATTGCAAAGAAGAGCAGTTTCACCTCAGGGGAACACTTATTCTTTGCTTTTACATCCACACCCTTCTCCACGTTCAGCTGCTGATTTCAGCCTTGTAGTTTTAACGAAATCAGCTGAACCTAATCTGTCTATTTCTTCTTTGAAGTTCACAGTATCAGCTCCACGTCTTATCAAACGCTGAGCAACTTCAATGTGACCTGCCTTCAATGCATGGTATAAAGGGAAACTTGATTTGTGTTTATCCTGACTTGCATACCCCTCATCATTAAGTTTTTTAAATTCGTCACGAGTACCATTAATGCTGGCTCCTCGATCTAGGAGAAATTCAACCATGTCGGCCTGCCCAGCCTCAGCTGCGGCAATAAGAGGTGTTTTTCCATTTTTATCCATTGTATCCACAGATATTCCTCTATTTAGAAGAAGTTCGAAAACAGCTATAAAGCCTTTTCCGACTGATAATGTCGATAAACATGAATCACAATAGTCGACAGAGCAACCTCTCTCAATCAAATGTTTAACAGTGGCATCTTGGTCCCCTTTAATGGCACAAGTCAAAGCTGACAATCTAGAGTGATCAGTGCGTAAGTTGACATTGACACCCTGATTTAAAAGATAGTCTACAATGTCATTATGGCCCAATTTTGCTGCTACATGAAGAGTTGGGTACTGAAAGTCTTCTAGCGCATTAATGTCAGCACCGTATTCAATCAGTAAACGGAACATTTCCAGACTAGTGGCCAAGTGGAGAACAGATTGGTGATATTCTTTGCCCTTTCGGGTGTATGTGGTAATGGCTTGAATATCTGCACCTTTCTCAAGCAGATATTTCACAACATGAATATGGCCTCCTGCAACAGCCTCATGTAGAGCCGACCAACCCACGACTGAGCGCTTATTCACAGGAACTCCACTTTCTACTAGTAGCTGAACGATTTCAAGGTGACCGTTGTGTGCAGCTGAGGTGAAAGGAGAGCCAACCATAAAACCCCCTTCTCTTGATGCTTCTGCTCCATGGCCTAGAAGAAGACGAACGGCTTCTTTGTGACCATCAATACAGGCCAAGTGAACCGGAGAATAGTGCCTATAACTCTCTTTCAATATATCTGCTCCAAGTTTAATTAAGCGTAAAATGTTAGCTTCTTTGCCACCCATCGCAGCATGGTGCAATGGCGTGTAACCATTGCCATCTTGGATCTCGAGAGAAGCGCCTTTTTCGACCAAAAATTGAACAATTTCCTCAACATTGTACCTGGCTGCCCACATAAGCGGAGTTTCGCCGGACTTGTCCGGTGGCGCACAGTCCACGAACTCTCCAAAGTCTAACAGCCTTCGGATATGCTCAATGTTTCCCTTTTTTGCAGCTATATGTAGAAGGGGTTGAGATTGAAAATCCTTTGCGACTTTTTCAACAAGATTGCTTATCTGCTTGTGGTTTTCAGAATCGAGTGCACCCAAGCCAGTCAAAATTGACTGACTATTAAAACGGGATACGTTCTCACCAGTTTTGAGACTCAAAGCTATAGCACTGTCGAGTTTATCTGGACTGTTATTCAAGATAGCGTAGACTGTCTCGGTGTCTCCTTTTACGCAGGCTGATTGGAGACAACTAAGACCACTTTCGTTGTCTGGCATGGTTAACACATTAAAGGCCAAACTCTTCAGGGAAAGCTGAAACAAAAAGACCAGTAAAATGAGTGGTATACGGATTTCTAACAAGAACGCGCTTACAGCGGCATGCAGGTCTCGCCTGCTTGGAGATTAGATCGAGAAATGAGGAGGCGATTAACTCTACAAGAAACATGATTTACTCGCTAAAGGTTTTTTACTTCCTACTTTATCGACGACGATACTTTTTATTTGTTTCTGAATTGATTTAGTACGCGTGTTAGCGACGACCAAAAATGCCTCTGCGGTATAAATACACGAAAATTCAAGGGCCTCGATTCCAGACAAATTACATCATTGCCAGAGATCGAAAAGGTGATTTATATGGCACGTCATTTCAATCATTGCCGAAAATAAATCGCATGCTCATTACAAGCCCCATTTGCATACAGCGAAAGTTTACAACACCCGACCATTGCAATTTTGCTAATTAAGATTCTTATTTTGTTTTTTCGACCACTCAGTAGTGTTCACTTGCTCCAAAGTAATCAACACTTTCAAGCGATAGAATTCGTGGACCAACACGTTTCGGAAACTTAATCTTTCCTAAGCTTTCTTGGCAAAACATTCGTGGCTTCGATCACGCAATGATTCTTAGTCCCAGTTTCCACGGTCTCACAGGGAACGCCTGGCACAATGACCTGCCTTTTGTGTCCCAAAAAACCGACTAAAAATTCCGGGGGTACTTCCAGAAAAATTGGGAGGGGGTGTGCGGCACGCTTGCTGAAACCCTTACCTCTATTTCAGACCAAAATCTGTGATTTTCCCTACCCTATTTCAGACCTGATCAAAAATTTGATACCCTATTTCAGAACTGAAGCCCTGGAGCCCGGAGCGCGTCACAAGCTGTTACGGCACGTACACGGTAGTTGGCGTAAACATTAAAAGGGGAATGGTCTTAACGCCAAATGATGAAGAAGTAGCTAATTGTTTTAAAAGCACACCCAGTTCAAGACTAGAGTGCACAAACCGAACCCCATTTCAGACCAAAATGGTCGAAATTGATACCCTATTTCAGACCAGAACGGCTAAAAAAAACATACCCTTTGGCACGGCACATACTTATATGGCCTATATAAGGGACTAACCCCCCCCTCCCCGGGGGGGGGGGCGAAAAACCCGTTGCAGATCATGACGGTCTCGCTGCACAAAGATCACGCAAGCAAGACTAATTAAGGAGGGAAGGATATTTACCCATATAAACATATGCCTTCAAAATGAGAGGGTGTCAATGGGGTGAACCCCCCTTGTCACTAAACACTTGTGATAAAATTCTTTTGACCTTCTTCTTGGTCAGAACTCAGCAAAATCGGGGCTAAGTCAGTAAATTACTAGAGTGTACTAGAGTTAATAAGCACAAATATATTTAAGCCAGAGTCCTTGTTGCCTGCGAACAGCAGACGCATTTCCGGTCGTCGCTTCTCTCCCTCCGAAAAATTTTTGGGAGGGAGAGAAGCGACGACCGGAAATGCGACTGCTGTTCGCAGGCTGGCACTCGAATGACAAGGTGACAAAATAGACATATCCTAACTTACCAGTCTTCTTCTGATAGAGGAATTCATCTCGTTTGGAGAAGTGCAATCAAAATTCCAATACTAGCAGATGTGCTTTCAATCGAGTATTTCAAGGCCGTCTTTCAACTGAATATCAACGTTCTTTCTCATTCGCGCTTTTGACAAAAAAAACTATCTCTGGTGTCCTCTGCACAGCAGTGCTCAGCTGGGAGACTGGGGATAAGTAAGGCAGGTGCCTGTTACATTTTTGCATGATACAATCTTCCCTTTCGTTTTCTGAGTGACGGGTTTCTGCACTTTCAGTTTGACTACAGATGCTTACTTCAGACGAGGAAGATAATGTACCGCTCATGCAAAGGGCTATTGAAGGTATGTCTTGTAAAAGGGCTGAGAGAATATGCGATATATGAAGAGATTTGGTCATTGAAACGTATAATAAAATGCAATGCTTTGCTTGAGTGACCACCAATCAAATGGCTTTCAAAGACCAAAGCACAATTCCCAAAGCAACCTTTATTGAAATAGGTGTACATCCAAAGAATTTGTATTTATAAGTAGCTGATGAAGACTTAAGCTTACTTAAGCTTATTATTAAAACTTTCAAGTAAACGTCTGAGACAAAAATAATTTAAGAAGGTTCATGCACTAGATGCTTAAATGCCCACGCGTGAACAACACAGGATTCACAGGAACACAACTAGTGATTCTTCATCCTCAGTTTCGATTTTTGCTGGTCCTCAAATATTGTCCATCAAACTTTGACAGGTCATCATGACAAGTTTAAGTCCACTTCCTTCCCAGCTATCTTTTATACTTAAAAAGACACTGTGAAACAGCTTTTCGTAATATTGTAGTGACTTTTAGCAGAACCGCACTACCATTAGTAGGTTTCCATTGAAAGAAACACCAGGGCGGGGGGGCTCTTTAGGAATTTTTGGGTTGGGATGTGCCACTGGAACCCTAGAACGGTTAGCCCATACCAGAGCTAGTTCAGCTGAATTTTGCTACCTTGTATTAATAGACTAAACTCCCCAAATCCCTCCTATCTTAGAGTAGCTTTTAGGCTGAGTTGCATAAATTTAAACTTGCCGATTTGATTTTTATATAATTATTTGTGAGTGGCAATTCCTGGTTTCCCTAGTCTAGGCTACAATCTTCAACCAATAATTGATCAGTTTCCTGGAAAATGATACCTTATTGTAGACCCAGATGCTCTGATTTATATACCCTATCCATGAGTAAACTGCTTGAAGACTATACCCTTCACATCACCACAATATAGCCCAGTTATATGGCAGCCCCCCTGCTCCCCCCTGGAAGAAACACTCCTATCTGAGATCTGAGTAGTTCTAATTTTTTTTCTGATACAAAGCTAAGTTAATGTATTATATCCCTTGTTCAACCCACCCCATAGAGCATGGCGAGTGCCAGCACAAGTTTTCTTTTCTTTCTTTTTGCCACTTCTACTTGTTGCAATATCGGTGCTTGGTAGGTGCACAGAGAATTCTAGTTGACGTCTGACACACTCTGATGACTGATGTTTAACTGCTCACACTTTTTCTTTTTTGTTTCATTTTGGAATTAACTTCAGAAAATCCTTTTTGCCACTTGGAAGAAAATAACCTAAAATGGGTGGACACATTCCATGCATGGATACCAGTACTCTGTCACTGGATATCAGTGTATCAGCATATCCATGTCTTTAATTAAAGTAATCGTAACTCACATAGGTCATATCCTCCTCCCATGACTCTGCATCTATTGCCATTTTGTGAATAAACTTCTATGAGTAGGTCTTAGGTGACTTACAGCTGTTTAAAAAAATAAATGATCCACTTCAATATACACTAAACTTACACAATTGTAGGTGATGAATATACGGTATTAGATACAGAAAGAGTAACTGCATCCAGCTATGTCTGCATCAGAGTAGAAAGGTAGTCGGCAATTGACACAGAAGTGGTCATTAAAGTCTTATTTGGTGATATTGTTCAGACACCCCTGTAGGGAGGTGTCTGTTGTCCAGTCTAATTTTCATTAAGGGTCTAATTGAGTTTCTAAATTTTTGTCCATTATATAAAATTATAATTATATATTTTTTGCATGATATTCAAACCAATAAATTGAAAGTTTTTTCCCCATGTTGCTAAATCTTTTCCAGTAAACTATTTGCTCAACCAAAATCATATGTTATTATTTCCTTTTTTCTCTTACTAATAGCCAGAAACAGTAACTGTCATGTTCAAGATTGGGTAGGCTTCCTTGTCTCTATTGGCTTGATCCTATGTGGAATTGCTTGCATTACAGTGATTAGTGTATATAAAGAGAAGGTTAAAGATGAGGTAAATTTTGGTCCACTTTATTTGTCATATAATAAAGATAACATATACACATATTTATTTCATGAACCAGCATTCTCTGATTTTTGGACTTGTTAGTGCACCATGCCTATTTGAGAGAGAATTTTTTCAGGGGTGTCACTAATAATATCAGTCAGTATAAAAGATGGACTGCGGACTGTGGACTGTGGACCATGGACAGTGGACTGTGGACTGCAGACCCTGGACTGCAGACTGGGTTTAAAATATGGACTAGGTTTAAAACATGGACTGCAGACTAGGTTGGAAAAAACTATGCTAATTGGTTCTAGGTAAGGTAAAATAAGATCAAAAGATCACTAAATAGCACAACACATGAGTTTAAGTTGTATTCCAAGAATGCTGCCTGGTTCTCCAAATCCTGAGAATTTCTACACCCATTTTATAGACCTGGTCTCAGTTTCTAATATCCATGACAAGGGTCACAAATGTGATGTACATGTTTACAAAGGTGTAAATTATGTCATCATTGCCTTGAAGGTCACGTTGGATGATATATTTCGCTTATTATTCATGTATAGGTGAGTAACCCCTACCGCCTAATACAGTTTTTTTGCAATTGCGGAACTGGCCCTATATTGACCTTCTCATCTGGGTTCTTCTTTCCTCGTATCCCCAAGGCTTTGAAATGGAATTGTGGCATCTATAAGAATTTTACTCTCCCTAACACCAATACTATTTTTTTTTATTCGGTGCTTCTCAATTTCATACCTTCTATTGGTTTAAAACTATAAATTGAATTCTCTGCAAACTCCTCAATTTTATGAAACTAAGCGTTTCATTTTCAGTTGTCTTGAGTAGCAGCATTATAACCTTTCTTGCCCGTGTAGCATCCTTTCCTTCTCCAGGCTGACGTTGGGGAGAGTAGACCACATGACCAGCCAAAGGAATGTTTGTGTGTGAGGCAAGGAGCTGGGACTACTGTTTTAAGCTAGTTCATTATTTGTTTCTCTCAGCTTTACCTTTCTAAAGCTGTTTTTATAACCACAGTCTGTAGTCCATGTTTCAAACCTAGTCCGTGTTTTATACGCAGTCTGTTGTTTCTAGTCGTCCGTATTTTATACATAGTCAGTGTTTTATACCCTGTCCGCAGTCTGTAGTCCATATTTTATACTGATCACACTTAAATAATATATAGAAATTCTCATTTGTACATGTAAGTCAGATACAGTTGTACATAAATATTTCTTTCTTTTTCTTTGCATAAGAAAAGCATAACAAAAGTTTTTTATTATTAGTTATAACCAGAAACCGGTACTTACAGACACTACAAAAGGAAACTTTACACAGACAATACAGTAGAATCCCTATTTCTTGAAACCTCGGTTTTTTCGAAATTTGCGATAGTTCGAGCCAAACCTAACTTCCTTTCATCAGTCAAATACTGTAATTGTACCTTTGATTTTTCAAACCTCCCAATAATTCAAACCAAAATAATTGCTTTTCCAGTAGAGATTCAAGAAATCAGGATTCCACTGCACAGAACTGTACAACAATATTACTTTGGTGTCTTACAGTGATCAGTCTACATATATAACTGTGCTACACTGCAATAACATAATTTATCAAAAATGGTCTTAAAGGTCTGTGTCAGCTCCAATCAGTCATAAATTATCATTAGCATTATGACTGCTGGGAGCTACTTAGTACTATTTTTCATCGTCAATGAGGCACTTATTTGAGGGAGGTGCTGCTAAGACTAATATATGTTACAGGTAATAAAAAATTTGATTTCAGATGAAAATTTTTTTACTTAGGTTGATTCTCAAGTTCTTTGTCTCCTAGGGCTAGGAGATAAAGGAGATTGAGAATCTGTACCTAGATTAAATCGAAACTTAATCTGAAATCAAATTTGACCTGTAACGTATTTATTACATACGTACAGTAACTGCATGTCAAGTCAAGTTTGTGTCACTATTGATTATATGTAGCTATAACATCAGAAGATAATATTTGTGGCTGGTTTATGTTACATCAAGAGGATAACTTTTATGAGGAAGGAATTTGAGGGGAGGTAAAAGAACATTTTCTCCACTTGACCACTGCCCCCCTCCCCCCTCCCCCACCTCCAAGAACTTGCTGGAAGCCCTATTTGGGCAATATACATTATGCTATGCATGTATTTGTAGGTAATGATTCATACCAAAATTCCAAACATCAAAGATATTCAAGATTCCACTTTCTTTTCTCTTTAGTATGGAGTGGTACTGGATGCAGGGTCAACTCATACCAACATGTTTGACTTTGCGTCAGCCACATGTAATTACTTCGAGTTTTGATTGGTTCAATGTATTGTCTGTGTCCTATGTGATTGGCCAGAGTAATTACTTTGGTTTTGGTTTTACGACACTCAAACGAAAACCACTCTATGCATGTATTTGTAGGTAATGATTCATACCAAAATTCCAAACATCAAAGATATTCAAGATTCCACTTTCTTTTCTCTTTAGTATGGAGTGGTACTGGATGCAGGGTCAACTCATACCAACATGTTTGTGTACAAGTGGAAGGTCAGTGATATTATCAAAGGTACAGCACTTGTGAAACAGATTGGAAATTGTACAGTCACTGATGATGAAGGTAAGCGTTGGCTCGTCAAAGTTTTGTCCCAGTCTTTATTCACTCAAAGTGTCGGGATAACTACTTCAAAGCTGAACTTGTTATTCTGAAATGCACTTCAGAATGTAGTATTTAAATTGCATTCAGATGGACTGCCAGACCTAAGCCTAAATTTGAATAAACTACATTTTTCTTTTCATTGCAAAGTTTGAACAGTTGTAAAAAACATGTTGCTCAACTGAATAATAATACTCAGTTGAGCAGCATTGTGTTTGATTTATTTAATGTTTTCAAACAAAGAAAAGAAAAAGTTAGTTTAAAAACGGGTAATTTTAAGCATTGGTCTGGCAGTTTGGTTGGGAAGATGTCAAGTTGCACATACCACTGGAAGCAAATAATAATATTAGATGATCCCCATGACTGTCTTTGAAAAAGTCTTTTCCAAAGTTACTTCTTCGGTATCATGTAGTCATGTTTGAAATTTAATGCTGCATCAGGAAATTTCATGCTTTAATTGTACAGAGGATGAAAAATAAATGTTTCAGTTCTTGCTATTTAGGTTACAAAGTTGTTTTAACCAAGGTTAATTCTCAAATTCCTATGACTCCTAACCCTTTATTCATTATTCATAATCCTGAGTAATGACAATCAGGAGACAGAGGAAATATTTTGATAATCAAATAAGCTAGATTTATGACATAAATGTACCATATTTTTTTGGCTAAAAGAGGCGGCATTTTTTCAATGAAAGTTTGCGTAATAGCTCTAAATCTGTTGTAATTTCAGGGTGAGTGTTTTGATAGGGGGGATTTTTTCGCTTTTCATCAAAATAATAACTTTTTCACTTTTGTTCAGATAGGTGAAAGACGTAGTTAGTGACCTTGGAAAGCATGTTGTTGTAGTTAAGGTGAACACTGCCAAAATTGTGGTTGCTCCTTGTAGCCGAGTATTTTAACTTGTTCTTTAGTTTCTTAACTTGAAAAAATTGTGTTGAAATGTTTAGGGAGCATCTTATAACCAAGTGGGCCTTATAACCGAGATAAACCAGTATTAAAATTTCTAAGAGAATGATGGTCGTGCTGAATTGTTGTTTTATTATGTTGTTGCTGTTGTAATTTATTGCCTTATTGAGATCTCATTTAAAAAACTTTCAGGACATGTGAGGGGTATATCAAGTTATCAGCAAAATCCTGAGAAAGCTGGGAAGTCATTAGAAAATTGTATTAAAAACACGGCAAAGAAGCTTATTCCATCATATGAACATAAAACGTCTCCAATTTACTTAGGAGCTACTGCAGGGATGAGACTGTTAAAGTAAGATTTAAAAAATGCCTTGTTAATTGTACTTATAGAGAGATTTATACGTATTATTTTTATATATTTAGTTTTTGTTAGGGCGCATTAGATAATATTTAAATGTTATTTTGAGCCTTGCAAATAATAAATTATTATTATTCATTATTATTATTATTACTGATATTCCTGCAAGGCTTTGCTCCAAGAAAAATTGAGGGAAGCTCTGTGCTCTGAACTTGCAAGTAAAATCCAACTTGCCCAGCATATGATTTCTATGAAAAAAAAAGTAAGATTTTTTAGTTGCTCAGGAGCAGAAGTTAGGCACCAGGGGCCACCATGGACACTGCATAAGCACAGCCTTGACCAGGTAGGGGCGGGGGGGATGGCTATACAGGTTATACAGGTAAAATTAACATATGTGTGGCTATGAAGGGTGGGACTATACAGGCATTTTTGTTTGCATTGGGATGCAGAATTCAGATTTTTTTTCTAGAACACCTGGGTCTCATCAGGGGGACCTTGTTTTGGTGGTGGACTATATGTTCTTTATTTGCTGAAGTCTAGACTAAAAAGACTCGACCGCGATTTCCTGTATCGGCAGATTTTGGTTCAAGTTACCTTTTACAAAAAGTTCCGGAAAATCTGGGTAGAAAGTAAATGGAACACGACTATTTGGGTCATTCCAGGGATAATTTCCGGCAACAACGGAACGTCTGATAAGGCTGTCCTCTTTTTCCGGAGAGAATGTTCCAAACGGAAATTCGTGGTCCATTTCTTCAAAGTCATCTTTGACACCAGTTTCAGGCCTTCGCGGTCGTTTTTCGGTAAATGGAACTGATTCGTACAAATGATAAACAAGATTCCGGAATGAAATTTACCAGTCTTGAATTTTGCTTATCATTCACCCAAACCGTGAACCGACCGGTTTGGCCGTGTAGATGGTAAACAACCTTTATCACATGTTTTCCCCCTAAGAAACCACGTGCGACATGGCTTTATCCCATCAGCAAAGATGGCGTGTATCGTGAATAAGGTCTGCTGCAGTTGAACATGGCCTGGTAGCCTGGTATAGGAAAAGCGTTCCGGAGTCCGACCTTCACACCCCTTCCCCAATAATTCGCAGAGTTTTCCCCCCCCCCCGCCCCGTAGTAATATACATATACTCAAAGTCTTCATAGTAAAATAGGGGGTTCATTTTAAGTATATATTAATGTTGAACTTTTGTGCAATTTACAGTGAGACTGATTCATCAGCAGCCAATAAAATCATCAGTTCGGTTCGGCAAACACTAGGGAGTTCTCCTTTCATGTTTGAAGATAATTATGCACGAATAATCAGCGGTGAAGAAGAAGGAATTTCATCTTGGGTCACTGTAAACTACTTGAATGATGCATTGGTTAATTCAAAGGTATTTGATGATAGCCTGCACGTGCCTTTTTACCCTACTACAAAGTAAGGCGAACTTTTTCTTTGATTTTAGTAAGAATCGTTGATGATTTGAGAAACTGTGCCAATTCCCACAAGAGAATTGTATTGGGTTTCTATACACCACAGAGTTATCAAAAGACTCAAAAGAGTACCTCGTTTCTTCAATTCAATCATCGTTTGATTAACTGTCCTCAGACGAAGCTACATGCTTCTTGTTCGCCAACAGTTTATAAGACAGACACCGTCGATACCGGTCCAAAGTATCCGCATAAGAGAGGCGTCCACTTTGTACGAAGTAAAAAATATTAGTCAGGAACTAACTCTAGGCGAACCCCCTAGGAAGGTATCTCCCTCCTTACCGGTCGTTTCGCTGTATATTGAAGTCGTATCGCAGCAGAGTCTTTTCCCATCAATTTTGGACAAATAGAGAAAACGTTGGTCTAAGCGATGTTTTATGCGTGACATCCAAAAAACGGCTGCGAGGGAGACTAGGTTAAGAGCCGTTGCGCCATTTCTGTACTCTATACTTCTTTTCGCGGATACTTCTTGCGCTGGATTAACTCACTTGCGGAAAATTAACCTAATGGGCAAGGACGTTCACTTGGCTTCAGATCGATAAGCTTCAGGAGTAGGTAGAATGACGATATAAATGTTTCTTTGAACCGACTAACCTTTTCTCAGACATGAAGGTAGTCTGTTTCCTTAAGCAGAGAAACGAAGCGAATAGACATCAGGATGCAGGGAAACGACCGGACACCCCTCAGTCTTGGGGGTGTACGTTAGCAAGAGACTTTACTGTATTTGAGCTATTAGATATAACATTGCTATAGTTCCAAACTATAGCAATGATTTATAGCGGCTATTTGTTTCAAAACTCTGTCTAATTAATTTTTTGCGTTTTCATTATGGAGAGGAGAAAGGGTATGTTACATCTTTCAGATTTTAATCTAAAGTAGGCTGAAACAAATAATGGATCATTACATTATGAAGTTTGATAATACTGGGGTTTGAAGGCGGGGAAATTAATGGTTCATTTTTCGTTCAGGAAACAAACCAAGACGAAAGCAGCAGGTCTATGAACAGACAAACTTTTGGAGCTTTAGACATGGGAGGTGCCTCCACGCAGATCACCTTTGTTCCTACTACAACTGCGCCGAATTCCGTGAAATTAACATTATATGGAAAAGAATATTCAGTATACACTCACAGCTTCTTGTGTTATGGTTTGAGGGAAGCACAGAGAAGGTTTTTAGCTCAACTTGTCAAGGTAATGCTACGTGTAGGGTGTGACCTCATCGAGACCATGTTCACAATTTTCACCAAAAAAAAGGAGGTGATGACTGCGATGTGACAGCGTTTTTCATTCCTTGAAAAAAACAAGAGAAACTGCAGTGAATTTTAAACAACCTCCTTGACACCGCAACAGAAGAGAAGAGAACAGTTACTGTTTGCGACAAAGGAGTGTCAGCAGTTTTGAAGTGTTCTTAAGGAGAGGTCCAACTTAATGTGCAATTATTGTACGCTGAAAATTAAAAAGATCTGTTTCAGCCCCAAAGTGCCAATTCAGCCCTGCAGTCCAAAGTCTGATTCAGCCTCTCGTGCAGCCATTCGAGCTCCATTCAACAGCCCCGTCGAAAGCCTATACCAGCCCATGCTGGGACTCATTTCAGCCCTTGGGTCCAAATCAGCCCTAGGTAATGGGACCGTATTGGCCCCTTATTAAGGGAGCCACGTCATTAGAATCAAAAATAGGACTGTATTTTACTCACTGAAACGGCCCTATTTTTAGGGCTAAAACAGATCTTTCTAATTTACAGTGTAGGTTTGCTTTAAAAAAAAAAAAGAATCGTTTTTTCTTTGTTGTCCTTTACAGACTAAACTGACTGACACACATTTCTGGGTCTCTTGTAAAATGCGGTGTAAAAAAAAGAAAACCTTATTATTGACCTCAGTCAATCTCATAAAAATGTCTTCTCCCAGCTAGTCTGCTACTAAGTCTGCTACACAGCAGTTTTTAGTCTTGTCACGCAACGCTCCTCCCCACTAAGCGTTGCGTGACGACACTAAAAACGGCTGTGTAGCAGCTAGATACTTATACTTCTCCTTCTTTGGTGATTAGCTCCCAAAACAGTGCCCTACATATATATTGTGTACAACCCTAGGTTCTTTGGCTGTGTCTTATCGCTAACTATTTTGTATAATCTCTCTAAGGATGCAAAGTACACAGCAGTAGTTTACAATCCTTGTGCTCCCAGGGGTTACCTGAAGATTGTCAATTCTAAATACCTGTGGGGATCCCCATGCGTAAAAGGAACAGAAGCAAATGACACTTTACACAACGTGACAGGGACTGGAAACTACTCTCTCTGCGCCACCGAAGTCAACAAACTGTTTAACTTTACATCTTGTGCTGGCAACAAATATTGTTCCTTTGATGGAGTTTATCTGCCACCCACTGATGGAGATACATTTTTGGTGAGTTCCTCTCCACGCGTTTTTTAACGAGCGCTGTTGCCCAACGAGAGGCCATCAAACAAAGTACCTAGAAGAGACCTTTAGATTCGAGGACTCGACGAGAATGACTACGAGAACGAGACTGATTTGACTGGAAGTTTTTTCGCGTATTCTCAAAAAATAGACACCCCGGAAAGCTTCATTGTTATGTTTTTATTATCCGGAAAAGTTAGCACTGTTATCTTTAGTGAAGGAGGTTAAGCCCTCTCCCGATCGCAAAATGATAAAACTTCTAACATTTGGTAACTTGTTTCCGCCACTATGACATAGAAGAATGGCAACAGCTATCGCGTTTCCCGCCGGGCAAGCACTACTTGGTATTGGAATATCTCATACTCAGAGTCGTTCTCGTCTCAGAATCTAAATGTGTCGAAAAAGTCGTTGGCGACGGCAAGGAGAACGAGAAGCCTTTGTCTGTGATGTGGTTAACAGCAGCTTCAGATGGCTAAATTAAAGTGAAAGGTTTTTTTTGAAAATGAAATGTGAAAATTAAGACTGTGAAATCCTCATTATATTTTCGTTAAAACACCGTTCTTGGAAAATTGTTACGAATTTTCAAAACTAAGGTTAGACTTAGGGTTTAAGGTTAGGGTAAGGGTTGGTGTTAGTTCAGGCAGATTTCCTTTGACCATAACCAGCAATTGCGGTTTACAGAGCCTTTTTAAAGGTCACGTGAACGTAAATCTAAACAAAACAAGAATACCCTGGTTGCACGCTTTCTCAAAGAGTGAAACAGTCCTAACTAACGCTAATTTTTTTCAAAAAAGAAATCGCTTTGATTTAAGTCGCGTTGTTTATTGTGAAGTAATACTACCCTCAATTTGTGTTAACTTATGTCGCATTAATTTTAAATACCTTAATTGACATGAGAGTTAATTTTCTATAGTCTATATATTTAATTTAGTTGTTATGGTGTGTGTCTTTAGGCTTTTTCCGCTTACTATGCCGTCGTTAAGGATCTTAATCTCACAAACAACCCGTCACTTGATAAACTTCAGGCGAAGACAATGAATGTTTGTAGGATGTCTTGGAGTGAGGTAACAAATGCGCTCTTTATTTTCTTCTTATTTATTTATTCGAGTCATTTTATACACTCTGGCGAAGAACTTTGTGTGGTTTAGTAAATTGCCCGTATTAATATTCTTTTTGTCCCGAGCTCTATGATTTCCTGGCAGTTGATTTTTCTCCCAAAAGTGATCTTGTTTTCTTGCTAGGATTGTTCCTTTAATTCTTTATCTTTTCTTCGTTTCACGTGGTCCTTTTTCTCTCCTAGACCAAACAGCCAGATGACATAGGTAACACTTAAAGTGTCCATTAGAAAAATCGTAAACGTAATTGCATAGTAATTTATTGTAATTTAACAAAATCCCAATCTTTTAATGGAGTGTCCTTTTTTTAGTGAACGTTACCATAGTGATAGCAAACGTATGAATCTTTTCTTTTGCAGATTAAGGAAATTCCTTCCCCAAGCCTTGATATTCTCTCCTTTTACTGTTTTGACGCACAGTATATCCTCACAATTTTATCAAGCGGTTATCACTTAAACAACACTAAAGCAAACTTGACATTTGTCGGTTCGGTGAGTAAAATGAGCGTTTTTTTTTTTGTTTTTTTTTTTTGCGGGGGTGCCAGGTTGGGCTTCCTCCATAATACGGACAGCTCTCTTTTGGGGCCTGCTAAATACAAAGCTTTAAAAACTCTCTTCCCCCTCCCTTTCTCGCCCGGCTACCCCTTCAACATGGTTACAGATTTTAACAAATAAAATTATTTTTTATTCTAGTCTTTTTTTTTTTTTATTTTTACTTTTATTAATAAAATTTTTTTTTTCTATTTTTTCCACACTTTTTCCCTTTAACCCCCCCCTATCTCTTTTTTCTTTTTTTTTTTTCGGTAAATAAATTGAGTTTTTTTTTTTTTTTTTTTTTTTTTGCGGAGGTGCCAGGTTGAGCTTCCTCCATAATACGGACAGCTCTCTTTTGCGGACTGCTAAATACAAAGCTTTAAAAACTCTCTTAGCCCTACCTCTCTCGCGCGGCTACCGCTTCAACATGGTTACCGTATTTACTAGAATAAGCGCCACCCCAATGAAGCGCCGCCCACGAATTTTGAGACAAAAAGTTAATAAGCTCCGCCCCCGAATAAGCGCAGTTGCCCTGATAAAATCAAAATCAAAAGGCGTTGTTGGTTGAATAGGGAAACTTGAATGGATGTGTTGAACGTTTTTTTACTTCTTTGGTTCGCGCTTTTACATTCGCGGATTCCTAACTAAAGCTCGCCTACCTGCAGACGTCTCCTATTTCTTTTATGGCACGCGTACAACGCCATGGAAGGAAATCTGGATTCCGGAGTACGGCAAATTTTTGCTTGTGGAGTCTGGGATCTAAGAATTTTTTTGCGGAATCCTGGGCTTTGGAATCCGGAATACAATTCAAGGAATCCGGAATCCCACTAACGCGTGGAATCCGAAATCCAGGCAAGTTCCACTGACAAGAAGAATCCAGAATTCATGTCGTGGAATCCACAATCCAAGACTGGATTCCCTTACATTGGGCAAAAATTAAGGCCTACTTTATTGTCTTTGTTTTCAGATAAAGAAACTTTCTGTTGGTTGGGCTCTTGGATTCATGATCAACGCCACAAACCTTCTTCCCCTTTTACCGCCGACCTCCGTGTCTATTTCTCGTATCCAAAGTAGTGTTTACCTGGCTGTTGTGATTGTGGGTGCTTTACTCATCAGTGCAGGCCTGCTTATTTGTATAACGTCCGCTGGCAGAGTGCATAAAAGACGACAGTTACAAGTAGGAGGACTAGTGCTATGAACGCGCAAGAATTTTGAGCTTTTTTTGGTCAAAATTAACCCATAGTACCTTTTGGATGCTTTCCATTTTGCCAAGAGAGTGAAACCAAACAGTCAAAAGCCAGTGGAATTATTAAGAGAAAGTTAAACAAAATTAGGGCCATTTATACGAGGAAAAATAAGACGCTACATAAGACGCGTCTTAAATAAGACGCGAACTTTCCGCATAAACGGCACATTTCGTCTAAAATAAGACGCGGCTTAGCTAAGACGCGTCTTATTAGATAAGACATGCTCGTATAAATGGTACAGTTCGCGAATAAGACGCGTCTTAAATAAGACGCGAACTTTCCGCATAAACGGCACATTTCGTCTAAAATAAGACGCGGCTTAGCTAAGACGCGTCTTATTAGATAAGACATGCTCGTATAAATGGTACAGTTCGCGTCTCATTTAAGACGCGTCTTATGTAAGACGCGTCTTCTTTTTCCTCGTATAAATGGCCCTATTGTTCCCAATCGAATCCAAACGACCCATTTGCGTTTCGACCGAAATTTGATTACTACTTGGCAAAGTCGGACTGGAAACGAGAATGTTTGGAAATGGAACGGCAAGTATCGGTCGAACCGGACCGACCGGTCAAAAAAGACCAACTCTGGAGGTGACCACTTCGACCGGAAAATTCCCAGGTGGACCGAAATTTCCGATAATCTTGGTATAATGGAAAGCAGCCTTTGTCTAGACACCAATTATAATTGTAGGGAGGGGGACAGATTTTTTTCTGTTCTCCATAAAATTTTGAGGGGAAAGTGAGAGAATGACTGATCTTGTTTTTTGACCAGATATTTTCCTTTACAATTTGCTACAACAGATAGTTTTTGATGTCTGGAGACACAAAAACGTTTTTAAGGTCGCCTGTTCTTCACCTTCAACTCCTTTTTAAGATGTTTTCTCTCCGCCTGATCATTACTTACAATATAGGATCATTCGTATCCAGAAGCGACCACGTACTTTAGAATTGATGGTGAAATGAGGCAACGAGTAGAAGTGATTAACTGGCTTATGACCCGAAATTAACTGAAGTCGGTAGACTAGAAAAAGATAATCAAGAAGGACGTATGCGTATATGGCGTAATTTGCAACAAAGAGATTGTAGCGTATATTTTTAGGTAGGATTTTAATCGAATTTTTTCCAATCGCAGTTCTCACTAGCGATTGAACGGGAGGCTCTTGTACTTCCAGGGGCGGATCTAAGGGAAGGGTGCAGGGGGTGCGCATCCCCCCCCCCTCCCCCCGAGATGACCTGCGGTTTTCTAATATAACTGGTATTCTGCAAAAAAAAAACTATGTGGTTTATTGGTGTTGAAGTAGAGCAAGAGACGAGTACACCCCCTCCTAAAAAAAAATCCTGGATCCGCCCCTGCTTCCGGGTACATTTTTACTGTCTGAAGCAGCGGAGTCCAATTCGGTGTGTAATCATACGAGTGTTTAACAAAATCACGATTTGTTTAATCACGAGTACGATTACTGACCGAATTGGACGACACGAAGTTCTGTAACCAAGTAATCATGACTTTAACAAAATCTGTTATATATAAGGCTCTTTTTAAAACCAAAACACAATAAATTCCAAGAGTTATTTTGCTAACCATAAAAAATAGCCATTTAAGCTCGCGCGTGATGGCGCGTATTGTCCAATTACTTAGGCATGACGCGTACTGCCCTATTAAACTGTCCTATTAAGGCTGAAATCAGGGCAATTGATAACCAATCAGATTTGAGAATTTTGTTATAGTTATGATTAACTGTTTTACCATAACTATAACAAATTTCTCTAATCTGACAGCCCTGATATCAGTATTAATATAGACCCGTAAAAAAACCCATATTAGAATGACGACGACTATCGCGTTTTCCCGCCAAAATGAAGCTGGATCACACGTGAGCACTACTTAGTACTAAGAAAATCGCACACTCGTAGTCGTCCTCGTCTTGGAATTCAAAGATCTCTGTTAAGACAGGACGCGACATGCCTAATAACTGTTCAGTCCGCATCATCGCCCGCTTTAATAAGACAGTTGCTCTCAAATGGGCTCCTTCGTCCTTGCAAGACTCTCCAGAGATCTTGTGTTTTTTGCTAAATAAAAATTGAAATTATGCACAACTTAGTTGGTTCGTCCTAATCTCGTACCCAGATCTCCTGTTGACGAAGCCGGGTACGATATTAGGTTCGTCCCATTCTGGCAGAAATCATCATCTTCATTTATTGTATTCATCTCAGACTGAGCTCTGAACTCCCCTTCTCTTGAGCTCCTATCCAACTCACTCTCCAGAGTTTTAAGGATCTGAGTAAGTTGGGACAATTAGAAGATGACGTAAAATTTCATTGGCGTCATGCAAGTCAACCGGAAGTAGGGTCTTTTCCCTTTAAAGATGCCTTGATGCTACCAAATTTGTCTTGCTAATTGACGTAAAAGAATTGCCCAAAACTGGCAAGAGGTCACTTCCGGTTGACGTACGTCGCTCAAAAACGCCTTTGCTTAAGCTCGCTATTAAATCCCTACTAGTGTGAAGGAGTTCGAGCTTTAACCACAATTTGTCTAGCCAAAGATACGAGGCTACTTCGCGTCATGTGTTACCCCGAGAAAATAAAATTAACGCGAGTTTTCTGGGAATCATTTAAGCTCATTTGTGATGCAAATAAACACTTTTCAATGTCTTTGACGACATGTCACTCCTAACTTGAGCTAACTGATGACTCCTCATCTGTCGTATCCAGTTTATCCCATATCCCGCCTTGGAAACAAAGCTCTTCAGGGTCTCGACGTCCAATCTTATCCCGCTTCCCCCCCTCTACAATTGCTCGTATCTCACATATCATCTTGTAAGCCACATCCCCGCATCCCTCCAACCCCATGTGTCTCGTGAATTCCAGAAGTTCAACCGTGATCAGTCTAAGAGGATTCTCTTCCCTGGGCTCTCCATCCTTTTTCCTGTGCAAGGAGTGAAACGATGTCTGAATAAACCCTGAGGAATGTCTTTACATTGATAAGGCACCATACTTTGCACATAAAACTCAACTTTTATTTATTCGACAGTTAATTATTGGTATTATTTTAAATATAATTACATGGCATTTAATACGGTTTAATACAACCGTACCGTAACTCAACAGTTGCTTTCAGAAAAAAGTCTATTTTGCTCATTCCAAGAGGTTTCTCCTTCTGCCATAAAAACTTTTGGACACAAGATCTTTATAGTTTGCGTGTTTTTTTTTTTTAAGATGAAAATCAATTCGCAATAAAAGGTAAACAGCAGAAAAACGGGAGTAGAAAGTAGAAACGTAACCTCTGTTCATGTCTGACCCAAAATAACTTTCACATGGTAAATTTCCGATATAATGCCCACTGACAATAGCAAACTCAACGTTTAGAAACAAAAGGGGTAATTTTGACCCGGAAAAAAAAATCAAAATGGCGGAATTTTAAGAGTAACGCGAATCGTGATATGAATCTTGATCGAGTCTAGGAGAGCTGAATTTCAGCCCGTATGATAACGTCTAACTAATCTCTGCTATAACATTGAGAAAACAGCTGACGTTTCGCGATGCCAACACTAGTTTCCCGCAAATTAATATTTATCAAGCTCAAAATTGCCACACTGATCTGGGTAGTGCTTCTGATTGGCTGAAGCCAATTTCGAAAAATGAGAATCACTAGCCAGATCTGGGTAGTGGCAAGCGTTTTTTTTGCGCTTGTTTCTCAGAACAGGTAATTTCACGGCGAAACTAGTGGTGGCATTGCGAAATTTTTCTTGTTTTCTCAGACTATAATAACTTTTTTACAAGCTATTTTCCCTGTTCAACAAAAATGGACGTAGCATTGAACAGCTAATTTTGTGAGCCCAGATTTGAATTACATTCCCTTTAATTAATGTAGTAACATTTTCTTGACAAGAGCAAAACTAAATAAATAACTAAATAAAATAGATGGGGAAGGAGACCGGTCTATTTCTTACAATAAAAAAAAAGGTTTTTTACTGTATTTTTTTAATTAAAAATTCGAACGGGGTTTTTTAGATAATCTGGTAAAGCAGGGAAATAATCTCTTTAATAAAAACAGTTTTTTATATTAAGAAATGATTTCCGTTCTGAGATTACCTCAAAGACCCAGTTCGAATTTTTTTTTCCCTTTTTAGCTTTGAGAAATGATGTATATGATTTTTTGTGAGGTTTGGCATATATTAATATGTTTTGCGCACTGAACTGTAGCTATGCATTATTTAAACAATTAAAAGTCTTGCATTTCGAAAAAAGAAACAGTATTTGTGAAAGTACCGCTGGATTGGTTTCATTTGAATGATTGTACCAAAGACAGTTTGTTCACAGAAGTTAAAGTTGGATAACATCTATTTTTTTCTGTAGTTGACTATGAGAGTTAATTAAATAGATCAAACAAAAGCGGCATTTTAAATGTTGATTAAACGTTACGTCTGGAGCCAGCAGTGAAAAAAACATAGAGAGCTAGCCCTGCGAGCAAGCTTTCCATTTGAGAGTTGTAGAGATACTTAAGCCATGTCGGCACACAAATACGTTTTCAAAAGTATGCGTTTTTCGTTGTCATAAAAAAACGCATCGATCGATTCTCGTCCACATTACCGTTTTGATGCGTTTTTGACTGCCCACACTAAAACGTTCGAAAACGATAAAATTACATGTTGTGACGTAAGTTCAACTCCATATGTGCATGCGACAAACACATGCGCCTGCGATATTTTTCGTCAGAGAAAGGGTTAACACTCAGGAAAAGGGCGGGATGTTAAAAATAAAATCTACTTTTGCTTTACTTGGCTGTGTCTGCAGTGAATATGCTTGTTCCTGTTTCCGAGCTGGGTAAATTTTCTCCAACAATGAGGACATTGAAATGGCTTCTCGCCGGTGTGGATTCTGAGGTGCTTCTTGAGAGTTGACTGGTCTGCAAAGCGTTGAACGCATCCTTTGTATTTACATTGGTATGGCTTTTCCCCCGTATGCGTTCGTCTATGGTTTTTCGCTGCGTTGGAATGTGAAAAGCGACGATCACAAATATCACACTGGTATGGTTTTTCTCCCGTATGAGAACGCATGTGCGACTCCAGGCCCCCTGCTTGTCTAAACGTTCTCTCACAAACGCTGCACGAGTATGGCCTTTCGCCAGTATGAATCCTCATGTGGATTATGAGGGCTGAATGGCGAGTGTATGTTTTAGAGCAGAAACGACACTGATACGATTTCATAGCTTTATTCTTTGGGTCAAGCTTACAGGCTGTCTCTTTCTTGGCGTCAGTTTGGTTATTGGACGTTTGGTTAGTAGTAGCCTTGGGAAGATTATTCCGTTTGGGGGGTGTTTCTTCTAAGAAAGGGCTTGTCGCTTTGTAAGACACTTGTTTAGGTACCATGAAAAGATTTGCCTGGCGAAACATGTATTGTGCATCCGGGTACTGTGGAACTGTTAGCCCGGGAACAAACGGAATGGAAGAAGCCTGGTGACCAACTGATCCTGCACCTAATTGAGGCGCGTCTTGAAAGCTGTAGACCAATGGGGTAGCCTTGGGCAGCGTAAGTGGAAAAATATTCATATTCCAAGGTAAAGTCGGTCCCCTGCATATTTCAAACGTCTGCACTCCACGCAGCGCTTCGTTTGGGTGAAACACGTAACGCGGAACTCTCATCTTACTTGTGAGACTTTCAAAGGGAGGGAGAATATTTGGTACACGATGCGTAACAGGCTGACTGCAAGGCATTGACTGTAGGGCATCCTTAGACCAAACCATAACGCAATTATCTTCAGCTTTTGACAGTGACGATCTTCTGTGAAGCGGAAGCTGAGCGTCCCAAATATTGCGCCCATTTAGTAAGGTGTTTACTGGAGAAGTCGAATTAGCAGCATTTAAACTCGCTTTACTGGCAGCTTCAGCTATGGTTGTGGATAAATCATACCACAAGGGACCAAGAGGGAATTTTTCCATGATGCTTTGCAATAACTCACGGATCTTTCTGTCCTGTAGAAATTTCTGCGTTCAGTGCAAATATAAAAATAGATTAGAAAGCAATGAACAAAATGTAGTCATTTCTGTGTTTTCTTTTCTTCCACGCTTGAGAAAAAGGATGCGATGATTAGGCCATCCCCTTTTTTTTTCGTTTAGCGTCGAATGCGTTTCCTGATATTGGGTCGGTCGGTTGGATTGAAAAAAAAAACCTAGAAAAAAAAATCTCAAGACTTCTTGGAATAGGAGGCCCTGATATCCCAGGATGACGTTAAAAGTTAACATTCACATATTTGGATTAACAAAATGCGCAATATTCTGTAAAAAAATGTTCCTGTTTTTATTCCTGTTTTTCTCTATGCTATTACTATGCTCAGTTTTCAGATTAAAAGAATTATTTCAAATGAAAAATGGCTTTACTACGTCGCTACTTATTTTTTTGAAAATGCCAAAAAATTTGGTTCGGTCGGACGACATGAAACGGGGAAAAAAAGAGGATGGCCTAATCGCGTGAAAAGCTAGCCTCAGTTTATACCACTGGAAATTTTAAACTAAATTTCTAAGTAAAAATAGTACACGCGGAAAACAATGGGTCTTGGTCTTTCAGTTTTCGTCCAGTATTCCTCGGACTTTAGTAATTAACGCATCAACGACTTGAAAAACCTTATACAAGCCCCTAAACCTGACTTCTGGCAACACCATTTCAAAAAATTGAGGCCAAACTTTTTAAAATTGATAGCCTTTTGACGAAAGACGAAAGACTTCGACTTAACAAATTTAATTTTCGACTTAAAATTCACGGTCAGGCTATGTTGGGAACAGTTCCATAACTTCCCTTTTTACTATCTGTTTTTCCCCTCTTCCTGTTTTGTTTTGCCTGTTTTTTTCTTTCTTTCTAATGTACATTTTTTTTTACCGGACTAGACCTCAATTATATTCAGTACAAACAAAACGTTTTAAGGAATGTGGATATATATTGTCCGCACTTTAGAACAAATAAGTCCTCGTCAACTGAAACTGAATGTATAAACATAACAAACGACACGAGGCTGTCAACGTGACGAATAACTTCAAAGTTTTCAAGACTTGCATGAAAAAATCCTTACTACAATGTCATTGTATTGGTACTTGAAGAGATAAAGCTTTTCCCACAATTTATTTCATTCGCCCAATATCCTGCGTACTTTTTTTTAGAAATTTGATTTCTTTTTTTTAATTTAGGAAAATTACCTTCAGTTCACAACTTACATGCACGCGATTTTGCGTGTACGCACCTTGCGTGCCTGTAATTTTTTTCTTTTTGCGTGCTTTCAAGTCAGACACAAAAAAGTAGCGCAACACAAATATAACAACAACTAGTTTGCCAAGTCACTATTTCAGAGTTTAATTCACTTAAAGCGCATTGAAACTTCTTGGCTTTTTAGGTGATTTCAGATTTTTAAAAGGGTTTGGAAATGCTTTACTTTACACTTGACCAAGAAAGCCTGCGAACGTCACATGAGAACTTAGAGTCGCCTTTTATGTTGCAGAAATGAATGAAATTGCAAATGCAATATCATATGGAGAAAGAAAAACCAAATCATATAGGTATTTCCCACGAAATCGAAGTCCCGACGATCGATACTGATACAGCGACTATCTTGGAAAAAGGCGATCGCATTGTGATTCCAATCAATTTTGACTACCTTAGTCGAGCAAAGACGGCAAAGAAATCTGCCACAAAGTGTACTGCCTGTTCAGAGATTTTGTTTTGGTTATTGAACCTGTTGCTTCTTTTATTTTCTCGTTTCCATTTTCGTTGTGCTTACGCTGAGCTCCGGCTAGTAGCGTTACTTACTCAAAGTGAATTCTCTAAATGCTTCTGATTTCTCCTGAAAAACCCGACAATTTGATGAAAAAGACGAGACGAAATCGACGTCCGCAGGTATCCTTGCAGAGGATCACTACTCCAAGTCAGTATGGAAATATTACAGCTTTTCTAAAGAAGTACAGGTTTACACATGTATCTTCCAAAAAATGAACTTGATTGCGTATTTTCTTATTCAGCTATCGACTAGGACTATTTAATCTATTCAACTATTAACATTGTTTGTCTTAGAATTTTTTCGGATCTTAACAACTTCCTCAATTTTGAATTTTACCACGACAAAGTATAAAAACAGTACTATTACCCTTCAACGAATATTAAGATAATAGCGAGAACAATCGCGGAAACACAAGATTAAGCAAAATTTTTGAGCACTAAACACAAATATATTTGCAGGGTGTTCACTGGTTTGTTGTTTTCCCAGTTCGCCTTTGGATCAAACTTAAAACTTCTAAAGAAAAATGTCTGAATGCTTTGACTTGCCGACCGCCCTTGACACTGAATTTTGTTCACATAAGCTTACATTTGAGACTCATCAGAGCTATATAATGTTTATAATTCCAGAATAGCCCAGCTCATTATGTTAAATAAAAACGTCATTTGAATTTTAATGTTTTCAAAAAAGACTGTTGCTCTAAACAAGATTTATATTGCAGAACGTAACCGCAAGTTAAATAATTTTCCGCCGTTTTGAGATTTAACTTACACACCGGAATGGTTTGAGTTCATTGACGTAGGGTTAACGTTTCTAGCTCTTAAAAATTGTATAGCAATAAGAAAAACTTATTGTTATAAATTTCGTCAAGCATACAACACATGTTTATATAATTCACAGTTTGCAATCTCCTTCAAACCTTCTTGCAGATCGAGTAAGCCATTTTATAGCTATGGAGTCCCGATTTCTTAAATGAGCTTCGGCGTGTTTCTATTTAATTTATTCAAACACGTTTCGAACTGTTAAATTAAAAAAAATTATATAACGGAATTCGGCCAATTCATGTATGTTTGTATTACTTTTGAACAGACCTGACATGAATCGTACAACACATGTAAGCTTACAACGAGGCCCAACTAGTTCACCGCAACAGATAAGCTTAATTCAATTTTCTTACGGTCTAAAAGCTTGGGCTCAGAACTGTGTGCAGTAATTTAGTCCTGAACGAATTTTCGGTTAAAAATAAAACTGCAGACTCATTCATTAACTTAGAAACTGTACTAAGTTTGCTCGTTCTGAATGCGGCTTTCAATACAAAGCGAATTCAAGAAATGGCGCAGCGAGTGTACCTGTAGCCGAGTAACTTGCGATTCTTGTTCAGATGCGAAGATCTTTCGTGGGCAATAATCGTTCGGATAACTTGAAAAGTTGGTTACGATTTGCTACTGTTTTCTGTTTTCAGAGAAAGGCTTTACTCACCTGGCTTTACTGCTTTCAAAAGTTGGATGCGGTCCCCATAGCATTCAGCACCTGCAGTAGCTAGTGTGCTATCTCTTTCATTCACACTTTGATTGACAAGTACAGTTCAACGACGGTTTTTGACCTTGTGTCAGACCCACGCGTTGTAGCTCTTTCAGTTGAAAAACGAAGAGAAACATGAAAACTGAATGAAAAAAAAGTGAAAGAAGGGGAATTTTGGTTTGCGTGGACTCGCGCGCATTTCGCGCGTTTGTTTTTTCGAAGGAGAAGCACTGGGCCGAGAACCAGAGAAAACCAGAGCACTGGAAGCACTGGAGAACACTGAAATTAGAGCCCTGGTAGTCGACGGGTGCAATCAATAATTGAATGATTTTGTAGGTAGACCTATTAATAATTGGGCAGATTCTTTCACCTGAAAGAACTAGTAGACCCCCTTCTGTTCAGATGTCGGGTTCACGTAAATTCACAATTCAATTACGAAATATCTCCAGTCCAGCTGAGGAGTCGAGTCTTGCAGAGCAATCAAATCGTTTGCTAGCTCTCCGCTCTCTGTAAGTCATCTTTCTTAGTTATTTTTACGTGTTTGGGAGTACATACGTTAATTTACCGGCATTATTACATTTTGGGCTTAATCTCTTTTGCTGCTGGTAACAATTTAGAAGACTGTGTACTCAGCAATCGTTTCATTTTAAATTAAAAGGTGGATCGTCGCTCCGCGAAGCTGTCAGGCGAGTCACCCTCGCGACTAGATCAGTCATTGAGGATACTTAAGTTATTGAATGACATTCAGCTAAAATGACACGCTGGTTATCAATGAGCATTATTTTCGCCTCAATATGTTGTGGATATGCTCAGTACAAGCCAACATGGGAATCGCTAGACTCGAGGCCCCTCCCTTCATGGTACGATGAAGCCAAGTTTGGTATTTTTATCCACTGGGGGGTATATTCAGTACCAAGTTTTGGATCCGAGTGGTTCTGGTACCGCTGGAAAGGACAGCAACGACCTGAATACGTGGAATTCATGAAAAAGAACTACCCACCAAATTTTGAATATGCTGACTTTGCACCAATGTTTCAAGCTGAATTTTTTGATGCGGAATTTTGGGCAGAGCTACTTTCAAAGTCAGGAGCAAGGTAATTAGCTTTGTGATATTTGAAAGACTGTGCTATTTGGAACAGTTATAAGACTTATAAGGTTAAATTGGTTTACTCAGGGCCAAAGTTTATGATTGCCGAAGGTGCAAGCAAGCTAACGTGGCCCTGAGACTGGCAGTTTTTCATAAAGTAAACTTATTTCTTCAAAAAAGTCATACTTAAATACTACAGCCCTGGTTAAAAATGGCTAGGTTGAACAAGTGATGAAACATGTATCCAGGGTGTAAAGAAAGTCAGTTTTATGGCTTGCCATTCAGGCAAGTTGTTGCTAGTATGTACCACACCAAGAGTCCTTTAAGTAGCCCCAAAAAATTTTGGATGAGCAGCATTGATTATGCTTCTTCTGTCATTTGAATTTCCCAAAAAACTTCACTTGCCCTCCGGGCAAGTTAAGAACAGAATTCACTAGCCTGATTGCGAATTCCACTAGCCCCGGGCTATCGGACACGACTTTCTTTGCATGCTGTACTGTATCATCAATAATATTATTGTCACTATTTTTCTTAATCTAGAGGCTTAATATTTATAAATGGTATATATTTCCTTATAAATTGTGTCAGGTATGCAGTACTGACCAGTAAACATCATGAAGGTTGGACAAACTGGAGGTCTAATGTCTCATGGAACTGGAACTCTGTTGACAATGGACCCCACAGGGATCTTGTGGGTAAGCAAATGCTTTTATAAATCACAATATTTTCAGCACTGTGGCAAATGTTTTAGGATGTTGTATGGTCATTGTATGAGGAGGGGTTTATAAAGGACATACTTAATAGCTACCATAATCATATGTTACCAAAAAGAGAATATTTTCTTATGAAAAAAAGGTCAAGTTCCTACTAGTAATTTAATTGAAAAGACCGTTTCAAATGTGTGAAAATGATGCAATAACTACATGATTTTGGTTAATTACATGTCAGTTTTATATGACGTCAAAGCTTATATCTGAAGGCCTGCTGTATGAACTGGTCAGTAAAACAGCATTTTTAGTCTGCCAGAAATATATACAAGTTTCATGGAGCACTTGTGCAATACTGATGCCCCTTCATCCTTTCAGAGGAATTTTCCGGAGCAATTAGGAAAAACACCAATATGACTCTTGGCTTGTACCATTCATTGTATGAATGGTTTCATCCATTTTACCTGAAAGATGTTGCAAACAATTTTTCAACACAGGATTATGTTAAGGTGAGAGGAGACTTATGATCAAACTGTTTGATATATCTATAATTTATTATTAATAGTATAACAGTTTAAAATATTTTTTTTATCGTGAGAATTACTATAAAATTTCAAAAATGAGCCCCTCCAAATACAAATGTGAATAATTATGTTATTGCCCTCCTTAATACCCTCTGCATAATGTGCCTTCTGTAAGTATAAACTACTTAAATTGATGGTGCTTTCAAAGTATATGCTTGCTGGACTTACTTCTGGAATTTTAAACCATGTTACAACGTGTTCTTCCTGCAACGTGACAATATATTGCATAACAGCATCAGAACCCAGGGGGGAGGGCACTCCCGATAATGGCCTGTAACAGGAGGCTCTGCCCGAAAGGGGTACCTTTTTTCAGGCTTCTGGTATATGAAAGGATAGGGATTTCTCTAATTGAAGTATATCAAAGGGGAGGGAAATCTGTCATTTTAGTTTGTAAAAAGGCCCAAAGGGGCTAACAGATGCATTTTATGCTTTGAAAAAGTCGGGAAAACATTTTGGTTTTATGATTTATTCATATTTCAAAGACAGTGTATTTACCACGTTTAACAGGGATGCGAAGTTTGTAAATTGGGTATGAGGTGAAAGGGATACCATTTGTCAATAGAATGTACATGTATATGAAACTCAAAGGGGTACCTTTTTTGTCAAAAATGGTATGTAAGAGCAGTGGCTGATCTAGGGGAGGAGCCTGGAGGGCCTGCCCCCTCCCCCTTATTTTTCAACCAAAAGGGCTGAAAAAAAAATTGGGGGGAGACTGCGCCCCTCCTTATCTCAGGGTCTGGATCCGCCACTGGTAAGAGGGTACTATTATAGGGGTTAGACTATTGGGTGGAGCCTCCCCGTATAAAACTTTTTAAAATTGTTGAGTACTTACTTGTATCATAGCTATAACAATAATGCATCAACTGTTTTGTGATGCTCACATATATTATATGTTGATATTACATCATATAAATACCAGAATGTGTTGAAACCGGAGCTGTATCACTTGATCAATACATACAAGCCTGAGTATCTATATGCCGATGGACCACATGGACCTGATACTTACTGGGGTAGCCAGGAGTTCTTAGCATGGCTGTACAATGAAAGGTAGCCTGAATAGTGTTAATGTGTATTTTTTAAGAGTGCAATTTATAGTAAAGCTTGTGTGAAAAAATAGCCCTGAGTTACGTGAAAGTAAAATTAATTTATCGTTTAGACAGTGAATTGTGAAGTCAAATTCAGAAAACAAGTAACAACTTACTGTTCTAAAGTATTTCGGAAATGACTATTGTGTCGTGACCAATCACAACAAAGATCATGCAGGACAGGCGATCAAGCCACGAAACCTTCACAACCTAATGACCATTGTCACTTAGCCTGCTTAGCGTTCTCATGCCTGATTGGCTATTTTTCCCAACTTTTGTAACAAATAACCATCCAGAAGCATTTTGGTGATCACAAGTACACAGTTTTCTGAGTTTCACACAAGCCATTCAATTAAAAAACCTCAGACACATAAAAGACATAAGCCTCAAGACCATGATCCAGTTAAAATTATCAACTTGTCAAAGAATAAGTTTTAAAAAAAACTGGCCTCTCAAAGGGTAGCTAGTGCTCCTGAGCCCACCTGGCTCAGGCTATGTTAAAAGGTCAGCAGATATCTCCTTTTGACAGCTGTCAATTGACTTTGATATGGATCAAACAACAATAGTGCATACTGTATTCCTCATTGCTAAAATTGGCAGTCTTTTTATGTGTGGGTATAAAGCAGGATTATAGCAAGGGGATCAAGGACAGCAATTTTGTCACCATGTAAGTTTTCTGTCAGGGTCTCAGTGGAGTTTGGCCTGCGTCACATGTCGCAGATGTTATCTAACCCGGATTAGTAACGTCTGTGAAGCAGAGCATATATCCTTGTTCTGGGCCCCAAACAGACTCAATGAATTACCAGAAATGTGTTTTGAAATTTGCTTCAACCTGATTGGCGAATTGACAGTGGCTTTTTTAAAAGGCCAATCATAGCATGCAATCAAATCCTGGTACACTGGTGGGTCAGCCCTGAACAAGGGTTGCATAACCAGAAGTTAGTTCTGTCTGTGGTGCAGGCTATGTGGAGAATTGAATATTGTTTATACTCTTGTTTAGTCCTGTTAAAGACACCATTGTGACAAATGATCGTTGGTGTGACAATGGTTGTAAATGTCATCATGGAGGCACTTTCACCTGCACAGATAGATATAATCCAGGTAAACTACTGAACTGTGTATTTGTTAAGCTACTAGCTTACATTACCAGGTTATATTTTTAAACCATCTCTTTCAAAATTTGGCATAGTCCCAGACACCAGAATTCACTCATTAGTATGTGAAGAAAATGTTTTCCTTGCCCCACAGCTTAACTGGCCTTTCTGCTGGTGATGTGTGTCATTCTGATTCCAAGACAACCTCGTTCCCAGGGTTCTCTCCTACCCGTCCTTATGGATGATGGGTAGGAGAGAACCTTGGGAACAAGGTTGATTCAAGAAGTCTTAAAAACACATTGGTTTTAAAGGGACACAGTCAGCTTTTGAGCCACGCTGACCTTTGCAATTTGAAAAGTGTTCCACCCAAAATCAAATATACGATGAATACATCCACTGCTTCAATCTTGCATATAGTGTTTCATTCGATTTCGATGTTTTATTGAAAACCTGTTCCCGAGTATTCTTTTATTCATACATGTATTATAATCACATTTGCTTTAAAACAGTATGAATTGTGTATCTTGTGATATGAAAATCAGCTAAAAAATGGTATCTAATGCGCATGTGCATCCGCGAACTCTGTTCCTTTAAGGAGAAATGCTGAAATTTATTAAAAATTGTTAATAATGATGATAATAATAAACTATAAGTTTAAGGCTAGAGTTAGTTATTGCTGTATGTCCACTTTTCTCTTGAATAAAGTTATTATATAAATGAAAGCACTGAGTCTGGAAGTCTATAAGAGGACCTAAGATGTTTCATTTAAACCCTTCAAACCCTGTATGATGTCAATATAGAAATTCTTCACACTGTTTTTCAAACATTTCCTGTGGTACCAAAGATTGACAGTTGACAACATTTTACAGGAACACTACAAAAGCACAAATGGGAAAATGCCATGACTGTTGACAAATATTCATGGGGCTTCAGGCGGAACATGATTTTTGAGGATGTTTTAGACATGAAGGAACTGTTATACCAACTGGTTTCCACCGTAAGGTTAGCAAACATTACAGTTATTATAGAGTTGTCTTTAATTGACATTTTAAGAATAATTTTCGAAATAAATGCTAAGTAATTTTAATTCATGGCAACCTCGTTCCGAGGTAGACAAGAGCCCTGGGAATGCAAGTTTAATTCATGGCCAGGTTTTCCTGTTTCTACCTTTTAACTCCTTGTCAGAGAAAAATCTAATACACTGTTCAGCCATGGTGAAAATTATTGAATAAACATCTAATAATCTGCCAAAAAAGATAATCCCTTAATGTTGATTTTTGTTGTGCTCATTTCCATAAAATGGAGCAAGTTCAAGTTTTAACTGAAATGGTGTCCATTTTATATAGCTGTGGTGGAAATATGCTCATGAATGTTGGACCAACAGCAGATGGCAGAATTGTGCCAATATTCCAACAGCGACTGCTGCAGATGGGAGAATGGCTGTCTGTCAATGGTGAAGCTATTTATAGCACCAAGCCCTGGAGAGCTCAGAATGATACCACCAACCAACATGTGTGGTAAATGCAATAAGATTCATAAGCATAAGATTCTGGGAAACTGCCCACCTACCCCTCCCCTAAAAGAACGTTTTTCCCCAAGTAGTTGATAATGTCAACTGTGGCTTAGGGGAGGGGTAGGTAGGCATTTTTTCTGAATTTACACTTCTTCAATAGACCTCTTTTAAACTTAAAAGTTTGTATGTTTTGTTTTGCAAGTTAAGGTCTCAGGGGAATTTGCCCATTTGTCTGCGTAGGCCTAGACTTGCCCACAAGTCGAGCTCAAAATTTTTCTCGAGCGCAAAGTGCGGGCTAGGAATTTTTTTATACTTTCGGTGACAAAGCGAGCGGTGGGGCCTACCTTTTGGAAGCGGAAACGAGAAGCGAAGGACTTTGAGAAAGTCTAGCGTAGGCCATGCGTACATATGCACGGTATAAGACGAAAGAGTTCACTAGAGTATTATCACATGACCTACATCAGAAAACCAAAGCAAACAAGCTAAAGAGTTATATTCTTAATGAGTATCTCAAGCTCAAATTTTCATAAAAAACGTTTTTCCTGGTTTTTGACAAATAGCGTGACAAGTCCACGGTTTTTGGTTTCTGCTTTTAAACTTTCAATTAAATTTCTTAACACTGTGTAAATTAAATTTCTGCCTTTCGTTTCGTAAGCCACCCATTTACTTTGGCCTTCCACTTAATTAACACTTGAGAATGTAAATTATATTAAAGACTTTCCTCGAAACATGCATTTGGGCGACCTGTGAATGGGTATGAATGTAATGATCAGGATCATGGAAAACCTCCACAAGTTTTGTGGTGACTGCAACCATCGTTTTTATAAGAAATGTACCTTTTAATAATTACATACGACCCATGGCTTTGCTTGTCGTTCTTTTTAAAACCTTGTCGATTTGCAATTCTCCTTTATTGTTTTTTTCTGTTAGGTACACTTCTAAACTTGATGCAGTGTACGCAATTCTTCTTGAGTGGCCTTTAACTGATGAACTTACCCTCGGAGCTCCAATCAGCACCAGTGGAACTCAAGTTACCCTGCTGGGTTATGAAGGGGAATTTAACTGGAAACCAGCTACTGACAAAGGCGGAATAACAGTAACGTTCCCTGGTATCCCTGTCAACAAGCTTCCTTGTCTGTGGGCGTGGGCCCTTAAGCTAGAAAATGTCAAGTAGCCGAGCAAAGTTGCGTCGATTCAAAAATTACCACAACCTTGGTTCTGGGAAAGAGGATTAACGGTAGAATTTTGAGGGATTTGGCCTGTTGTCACTGATCTAGACAATGGGGTGACTTTTTTAACACTTAAGAAAGGTTTCATGAACAATTCTTACATAGTTAATTAACTGAAACTTAAAAACTGTTGTCAAGCATGTACTGTAGGACATTAAAGAAAAGGATATAGAAGGAAAATATGTGGAATCTTATACCATTTGTTTTACGTCTGCATCAATAACAGTGAATTAAATGGGCTAACTTTTAACAAAATTGTTTGTGTTTGTTCTTTTCTTATTGACCATTGATTCAGGGATTTTCAAGTCAATTCGGTCTGAATGAAAAAGAGTAAGATAGTGCGTGTAACGATTTTCATCTTTCACCGAAGAGTTGTACGATTTGAGTTTTCAAACAAAAGGCAAGGTTTTTAGGACAAACAGCAGACCAGAGATATCAAGATTGCTATTAAAAAGTGTTAACGAAGCATTGATACCCAGCCTAATACGAAGCTATCTCGAACCTACTGTAGATTTTGGTTAGAGCGGGGTCTCCACGGCTCAATTCCGGTGCCCGAAAGCGGAGTCGGGCCTCAGTTTGGCCTAAAAATAAGAACGCGGGCCCGTCCCCTGGATTCGCTAATGCAACTCAATGACCGACTGACTTCAGCGCCATTCCCATATCTCAGTCGCCCTCGGTACCGACTTGATGAGAACGCACTACATCAAACTGCACTACATCAAAGAGGCCCCTTTAATACAGCACCCTAACCCCGATACTCCCCCACCCCGACCCTAATTTAAGACCCCAGTCCTCCTCGTTAACAAAATATCAAGAAAACCTGAAAGAAGTAATCATAACGTGTCTGCGTTAACTAGTCAACCACCCTGATGCGCTTCTCACCACGCTTAAAAGCAATGCCACCGTTTTTATAACCGGCGTACTAGGCGCACAGCAAAAGCATCGACAATAGTGTGTGCGTGTAAGGTCGGTCTCGTGCACTGCTCTTTTAACTAATGCTCCCTCGAGTGAAGCAGAGAGAAGGCGAAAATATATTAACGGGGCTTAGGCAGGCCTAATTATTAAATTCAAGCAATATTCAGGCTCGAACAACTGAGCCTTCAAGAAGTGTTGATAACAAGTTTACGTTGCCCTTAACTCATCTAAGATCCTGTTGCTGAAACTGTCCCGGATTTCCAAATAGAGAGGATAAGTATGACGTCACGTTACCATGGTAGCAAAATTTCTAGATCTCAACAATCTTTCTTGACGGCCATCTGCTTCGTCGAACAATGGAAGAAAAGTATGGACTTCCGTTTTGTTCCTGAGTGCAATCATGCACAGGAAAGACACACATGACAATTTTTTCTGCCATATTTGTTGGACCGCGGTTTGTTGAGATCTAGAAACTGTGCTACTATGGCAGTGTAATGTAACGATTTCTCCTCTCTATTCGCGCCCGATCTCTGAACTACTTTGATCGCTATACTTTTTCCCATCCAATCAAAAATTTGAGCATTTTCATCATGGAAGCGAATTCAATTCCTCTTTTTAAAAGGGCTTTTGTTCACTTCAACGAGTAGCACGAACTCTGCCCCAACCAAAGGACCTGTGAACAGGCCAATTTTGTACTTATGAGGTCACTTCAAAAAAGGTCACAGCCACGGGAATTCTTGTCATGAGTTTGTTAAAACTACGAGAACCCTTCATCTTGTACGATCGGCTGGTGCTGCATCAACAAGAGGATCTCATGTTGGGAGAAATTTAGAGTACTCAGGATTTTTGGGATTTTTGAAGTTCTAATGAATCCTCATGCTCCTCTTCAGTGATAACTGTTAATGGCTATATATGAAGTGTAAGCTGGGACATTATTTTCCACCTTTCTTTCTCTATTTCCAAATCACGTTTTAACAATACTATTATGCACTTTCAAAACAATTATGACAACCCCGACAAAAAGACGGCTAAGCCATTCTCTTCTTTACTACTACAAAATTACAAGACGACCGAAAAGAAGCCAATATACACCTTTATTCAAAAATCATTTGCGTATCTAGAAAATCAGAACGAAAATTTTACTGTTTATATTGTGTCGATCCACAAAGGTTCTCAGTTTCTTTTAATCCAGGCATTTTTCATCCAAGTTGTGGCTTTAACGAACGTTTACAAGCTTAAAAACCCAGGCCCATCTGGACTTAAGTTGATTTGCTGGAATACAAGGAACAGAGATGATAATTCCGCCTTTGTCAGTCGCTGGTTTCCAGTTAAACTCCCCTTCATAACCCAGCATGGTAACTTGAGTTCCACTGGTGCTGATTGGAGCTCCGAGGGTAAGTTCATCTGAAGGCCACTCAAGAGCAATAGCGTACACTGCATCAGGTTTTGACGTGTACCTGAGAAAAAAAGAACAGATTTGCAAACAGTTGAAGCCAAAGCTGGAACAAAGGATCAAGAAAAACGAATCCACTTATAACTTAACCCATTCGCCCCGGAACCGCCCGTGCGGATCTACGTCCCTTCTAGCACTTGTGACGTCATCAGTTTTGACGGTCACGGACAACTTTGTCAGCTAACCTGAGCAGGGTGAAGAGATCTTTCAAAGCATGCCAGAATGAGCACGATTCGGGTAAGGAGGTTGGAGAATCAGACAAAAAAAATGTAACTTTCAACCGACAATTCCCATGAAAATCTTGTTCAACTACCCACCTACCTTTCCGTTCATCTACTCTTAAGATCCTAAAAGCTTTCCCAAAAACTTTTCCCAATGAAATGAAGCCTACTAAATGTCCAGCAAAAGAAAAAATGCGGCAAGAAAAGCGAAAAGAAAAAGCGAGTCTCGAAATTTTGCTGCCTGCCCATATCCGAACTGTATTTTGCATCTGGATCAGTAATCTGGATCAGAAGGCCACGAAGTGCACGACCTGCAAACGGTTTTGTGGTAATTTTCCGCTTTTTATAGCAAGGCAGGGACCAGAAAACGGCTCGACTAGCTTCAAAACGTGATTTTCGGCGAAATTCCTAGGGATGAAAGGGTTAATAGACTTAGACGTTAATAGACTTAGACGTTAAGAGACCGTGACTTTTGCAGCCATGTAGCTAGTCACACTTATTTGCCTTAATTTGGGATATAAACGCACCAAGACGATTTCAAGGGTATTGGGTTTCTCTTTGCTCTCAGTAGCATTAACATCATCGTCACCATGTATTGATCTCCTCGGATCATTATAAACCAGCACGGAAATGTTATCACTGCTCTCCGTGACGCTGCCTGTCTTCGAGAACAAAAATAGAGAAGGTATTCCTTGCTGTTAAACCTCCCCTGGCACCCGTCTGTATATTTTTCACGTGTTTCAGTGCTTCCTTCACAAAAGAGCTGCGTGCTTTTCGCTTGGAAACTAAAGTGGCACTGTAAGTTCCAGCAAAAGTCGCGCTATAAGTAACAGTAAAATAGTGACAGAGGTTCCCAGTCTTCCCGCGCTTTTGACCCCGTTTGACAGAGGATTAATTTTTTCCCTTTATTTTCCCGCGTTTAGCTTGGCACACGCTTCGGGTTTCCTACTCCTATTCACGCTTAGCGTTTGAAGTTGTCCCGCACTCTCCCGCGCTAGAAAGAGGTTGCTTGTTTTCACTGCGCGGTGCAAGTTGCGTCTTTTGTATGAACCCTCCGAGACTCCGAGACAAATTGCACGTTTTTCTATGCTCAACCTTAAGGTCCAAATGGACCGATCTTTACCACAGTAAAATATTCTAAACTCACCACGCGTTTTTGTTAATGGTATCATTCTGAGCTCTCCAGGGCTTTGTGCTGTAAATAGCCTCACCATTGACAGACAACCATTCTCCCATCTGCAGCAGTCGTTCCTGGAATGCTGGAATGATTCTTCCATCTGCAGTTGGGCCAACATTCATCAATAGGTTTCCACCGCAACTGCATAAAACAGCAATACAGAAACGTTTTATTATTATCATTTTTATTTTTACTTAAAGCTCAAAATACGAAGAAGGTATCTTCTTTATTTCAAGCATAATTGCAAGCCCAAACCATGATTACCATGAAAGTTCTATTGGTCTAAAAAAAAGATTGCGGTTGAGAAAGTCGAATCTGAACCAACGCTGAGCGTTGCAACTTAATGTGATCGCAGCACCGCGCGCCTTCACTATAAAAGGGTTTTGCGCCACGCAAATTTTCACACAGATGAAAAGCCTTAAAATGGCCCGTAAGCGGCAAACGGTAACCGCTTCCTTTCTAATACTTCTTTAGCGTATATCTAATTTGACAGCGTTCAGTAGTTCCGATACAAATGACCTTTGCAGGAATTGGGAAAGTTACGGGAAGGCACTGATGAAAAGGTGAGCGAAGAAAAAAAAACTGGTAATGAAAATTTCAAACAGACGAGTGTTTCCCACAATTTTTGGTTCGTGAGTTTTGTTAGTTGGCAATGTCTATTCCTCTACCTACTGTTCTACCTGACTGTTGAAACAAGCTGATATAACAGTTCTTGGATCGTCAAATAATCCATGATATCTGCATTGCGTCTGTAGCCCCAAGACAACTTGTCCACCGTCATCGCATTTTCCCATTTATGATTTATGAGCTTCCCTAGAAAACCAGAGGAATTTCACAACTTGGAAAAGAAATCTTCAGATAAAAACAGGGGCATTGACATAAAACTTCTAGTTGATAAAAAGAAACTTGCGGCCATACAAAGACCAGGCCGTGGATTTTCCAGATGCAGAGGCTAAATTATATGAACCTGGTAATAACCTTGCCCATAGGCCTTACGATCGTTTTAAGATGTTCGTGGCCGTTTAATCCACTGACGTGTGTGAGTTGTCAGGATAACTAAAACCCCGTCCACACGTATCCGGATATTTTCGAAAACGGAGATTTTTTGCTGCGTTTTAGCCTTCCTTCCACACGCAAAAGGTGTTTTCGGAAACCAAAAACAAGGTTTTTGAAAACGCTCAATTATCGTTTTAGTGTAGACGGACGAAAATCGAGATTATTAATACATGATGTCATACATCATACAGCGCATGCCCTGTAAGGGATTTTATCGTATTGCCATTGTTCAGCTTTTTCGTGTGGACGGGCGAAAACGGTTCGAAGACGCTACGTGTGGGCGCGTATTTTTTCCAAAACGGAGAAAAATATCCCGATCCGTGTATATGTAGAAAGGGCCTTAGGCTCCGTCCACACGTATCGAGATATTTTTGAAAACGGAGATTTTTTTCTTCACGCAAAAATACGCGTCCACACGTAGCGTCTTCGAATCGTTTTCGCCCGTCCACAAGAAAATGCTAAAACAATGTAAATACGATTAAGTAAACACTATAGCATCCCTTACGGAGCATGCGTAATGCTTTACATGATGTATGACGTCATCGTATTCGAAAATCGTCGTTTTCGTCCGTATGGTACAGGTAGGCGAGAAGGCTTCGTTTTCAAAAATCTTCCCTCTGAAGAGCATTTTTAAAAAGATACGTTTTCGGTGACGGTTTTCACCGGATTCGTGTGGACGGAAGGCCAAACAAGAGAAAACGTGTGGACGAGGCCATAAATATAACCGCGCAAAACTGTCAAAATGGTACGAGGTGTGTCAAATGTATAAGCCGACCTACCTGGGTTGTACCGATCAGAGCACGTATACACACCCCCATGATGACAAGAACATCCATTACTGCACCAGCGGTCATTTGTCACCACCGTATCTTTAACAGGGCTGAAAATTTACCACACGAAAACAGGAGCCGTTTATATACCTTTTGTTGGAGCCACTGTTTTCTCTAGCATCACTTGTTAAAAGTAGCAAAAGTTGTCAACCAAACCAAACAGTTCTTTGACAAAAACAACTTTTTTTAATTTAAATGTCATTTTTCAAAAAATTAATTGATTCAAATGCTTTCTCTCGTGTTCATTTTAGAACTGAAAAATATTTCTCTTCAACTGTTTCTATATTAAAGAAACTATCCCCTCTTTCTCTTAAGGGGGATAAGTATGTCCCGAGTTTGAACTCAGAAACCCGTTGTTTCACGTATTGGGAAGGAAGCCATGCTCCTGTCGGTATTTTACTGTTGCATTTGCACTTGTCTTTGTCGTCGACGTTTCTTCAACCCATCTCTGAGCCGTTTGCAGCCTTTTAATTTGCATAGCTGTTTTAAGGCCATGTCGCTTGATGGAGTTTTACCCTAACAGGGACGGTCTTAGGGCTTCGTCACGCGCTCCTTCCCTGCGTGACGAGCCAAACGAACGTCTGCGTGGGAGGCTAGGCCTCACAAGAGTGTCCCCCTTCTACCATTATTTTGCTCTTGTTCCATCTTTCGCGCAGTAACTAGATTGGAAACGCTTGCTAAGCAGGCTACCTTTTTTGATTCACCTTTCATTGTAAAGCCAAGCAAGGAACTCTCTGCTCATCCAGTATGTATCTGGTCCTACAGCTCCATCTGACCAAATATACTCTGGCTTGTAAGTGTTGACCAAGTCAGACAACTCAGGAAGAAGCACTTCCTAAAATAAATAGACTGTCACAAATCTGAATTGTGATGACTGCCAGGGGAAGTACTCCCTATAATGGCCTATATGGGGAGGCTCCACCCAAAAGGGGTATCTTTTTCAGGCCTCAGGTATATAAAAGGGTGGGGATTTCACTAGTTGAAGTATATGATTTGGTAGGGAAACCTGTAGGGAAATCTAGGGAAGACTGTGATAGGACTTAAAAGGGCTAACAGGTGCATTTTATTGCTTTGAAAAAGTTGAGACAATATTTTTGTGTTTTGATTTTATGGCTGTAAAAAAGGCAAGAAACTTCCTGGTTTAGTGTGATCCATTTATATTTAATAGTCGGCGCATTTAGAGCAGTTAAAAGGGATGCAGGGTTTTACTTCTTACTTATAAGCTAGTACGTGAAAGGGTACCATTTGTCAATTAAAATTATAGGAAAGGGGTACCCGCTTTTCTGTCAAAACCGGTAGGTAAAAGGGTAAGGGTTGGACCTTGCGGCGGAGCCTCCCCATATAAAATTTTTAGAAGTACCCCAGCCCTACCCGGGAATGCCTGTTTCTTAGCATGTGGTTTTACAGGAACCAAACTATCCCATCACCAAAGGATTTTGAAAAATGAAAGGAGAGAAGAATTCTCTAAAAACCAAACTTATAATAAAAAAACGTATGAAGTTGAACTTTAAATTAGTCTGTGGATAGGAAGAGAATGCAAATAATAGCTGACACCTTAACATAATCTTGAGTCATGTAATTATTTGCTTGGTCCTTTAAGTAGATGGGATTAAAGCATTCAAACAGCGAGTGGTACAATCCAAACGTGATGTTTGTGTTCTTACGGATTGCTTGGGCAAGATCACCTGTCAAAGAAAAGAAATAGTGTCAACTGCTTCGTTTATAATCCCAATTAAGGCTGGAAATATGTTTGAGTTTTTCAAAAAGTGAGAATATCCCAAAGGGGAGGGTGGGGTGTACTCCTGTGAATTCTTGGTGTAGATGTGCAGCCCATTTCTCCAAATCCTGACCCTATTTCTGAATCCTGAACCCCCACCCAACCCAAGGAAAATAATTGCTTTCAAGTCAGATCACCGCTCCACAATAATTGAAGACTAATATGCTTCTAAAAAAGGATCCTTACCCACAAGATCCCTGTGGGGTCCATTATCAACAGAGTTCCAATTCCATGAGACATTAGACCTCCAGTTTGTCCAACCTTCATGATGTTTACTGGTCAAAACTACATACCTACATAATGATCAAGCAGGAAATAGATGGAAATGGTCAGACCTTGTATAGAATTGGTGCATGGTCTGAAATAAAATACCAACTACAACTGCTGTTTTGGGCATATCAAATGTATTTCTGATCCTCGAGGCACTAGACAGGGGTATAACTAGCTTTTCAACTTGTTGTAGGCCTGGCTGACTGTAGATCAGAATTTCATTTCCACATCCTGACCAAAGCTTGTTTATAATTCTTTTGATTGCACGGAAGACTAGCTCGCACTAACCTCACCTAAACTTAGCTCAGTTGGTAGAGCGCTTGACCGCAGAACGGGAGGTCGCGGGTTCGATTCCCGGGGCCGGATCAAGACTCAGGGTCTTAAAATAACTGAGAAATGAAGGTACTTCCTTTGTCCTTCAAATGGCTAGACCTTCGCATGGCTCGGATGACCACGTAAAATGGCGGTCCTGTCTCCATTAGGAGACGTAAAAATAGTGTCCACAATTAGTACTTTCGTGCTAAATACATTGACACTCAAAAAGAGTGATTTTTTTTGTGTGAGCTCTTAAGCGCTTTAGCTCACCCCAACAGTGCATGATTTATTACAAGTGATAGAGTGATCAAACCAAACATTGGTAGGCCTAGGTCTACTGGTCTATGGGCTGGCTACACCCCTGCTAGATTCTTAATCAATGAAATACACCACTCCATCTACTGTAAGTATTTTTAGCAAAATTAATCAGTGTTTGGATTATACATAAATGTACTTACACACAGCACAGGAGTTTATAGAACCCAGAGCAATTGCACATCCCATAATAGGCTCGTGTCATGGCATTTTCAATCATGGGTCAGTTTAATATATCATACAAACCTCAGATTACTTTCCCACAAAAAAGTAACCTTTACTCTGCAGGCAGACATACTTTTCCCAAAATACCATTTAATCCTGTCAGTATTTTTTACTGCTGACAAATTTTCTGATTTCTGGGTGCAAAGTGTACTAATAAAAACTCTAATGTGAAAACAAGCCAAAAAAACGTGACTGTATAGCAGTAAATTTTCTAGGTGATTAGCTAGGCTCCTGAGCTGTGGCTGTTCAGAAATATTCGAGAAACATAACATTATTTATATACCTTGAGGCTGTAACAGAAAAAATTTAATTATTATAATTTTATTTATACCTTGCCCCAGACATAGCTAGCAACTCGGCCCAAACATTTGGGTCAAAAAATTCTGCCCTAAACATTGGAGCAAAATCAGCATATTGAACGTTTGGCGGGTAATTCTTTTTCATGAACTCCACAAATGCAGGGTTTCCAGTCTTCCAGTAGTACCAGAACCATTCTGTTCCAAAACTTGGCACTGAGTATACCCCCCAATGCATGAAAATACCAAACTTGGCCTCATCATACCACAAGGGGAGGGGTCGTGAGTCCAGTGACTCCCAGGTTGGCTGATACTGGGCAGACACCACAGAGAGAAAGGCAAAGAGAGCCAGCAGCACTTTGGACATCTTCCTTTACTTGTAGTATTTGTCTCAAACCTATAAAGAAGTAAAATCAAGTTAACCTGTTGCTTGACTAAGCTTGAATAAATGCAACATGCGAAGCATGACAGCGAGCAAATATACTGCCTTTGAGACATACTTTTTTTTATCCCTGATCATCAATGGAAGAACATTGTTAATCCCAAATCAGATGGAATGATGCAATCCCGAAATCACACTTATAATTTTGCTTAGTTTATAAAATTGTAGCATAATATAATCCCGGTGAGGGGGGGGGGGGTACTTTAGGAATTTCTGGGTGGGGATGTGCCGCTGGGACCCTGGAACCCTTAACCTTTACCAGAGCTAGTTCAGCTGAATTTTGCTACCCTATACTAGAGTAAACTCCCCAAATCCCCCTATCCTAGAGTAGCTGTTTCCCTTGTCTAGATAAAATCTTCAACCAACTGATCAGTTTCCTGAAAAATGATTTCTGGGTGGGGATGTGCCGCTGGGACCCTGGAACCCTTAACCTATACCAGAGCTAGTTCAGCTGAATTTTGCTACCCTATACTAGAGTAAACTCCCCAAATCCCCCTTTCCTAGAGTAGCTGTTTCCCTTGTCTAGATAAAATCTTCAACCAACTGATCATTTTCCTGAAAAATGATACCCTATTCTAGACCCAAACAGTCTGATTTATATACCCTATCCTAGAGTAAACTGCCTGAAAACCATACCCTTCACAGCGGCACATACCTATATAGCCCATATATGGCAGTACCCCCCCCGGAATATAATAGAGAATGAGAGGTCCATGGGGAGGGTGGGTAGGTAACTCCCCTCCCCCCACCTCCTAGATCCTCCCATTATGGGCCTGGGTGAATATTGAGCTAGGAACTATTAAACAGATTCTGCCACGTAAGGAAACAACAACCGCACTACCAGCCATCCCGGGACACACATCTGTAACGCAATTCTTCCCTCTCTGTTACAAATTTGCGCCTTCTGTTCATTGAACCTGCTCAGGCTACAATTTAGATTTCATTATTTTTAGCAGCAGATAGGCTTAATAAGCTTTTATAGACCACTAATAGATCGAACTACTAGCAACTTTTTTTATGAAGAGTTTATAATAAGACCAATTGACCCAGTTTCAAATAGTGACATTAGGTCAGTTAATTTTGCTGAGTAAGACGCAATCTCAGTTTAAACCAGAAAACTTAAAACTAGTTTATGCACAAGAACAGAGGAAGCTTATAAATAATCTCAATAAAACATGCATTTTCAACTCTCTGGAGAGTTCCTGCGAACATTTGTTATTACCTGAACCATTCACCTGCACTGAATTTGCCCTCCTGAAAGAATTTTCAGCTGAATGTCACGCGCTCAAGATTAGAAGGAAATTCAATCTCTACGTCATGTAAGGATAGAAAATAAACGATATTTATACAATGGTTTCACGGCGGAATCGAATGGTAATACGAACAATCCAAAAAATGGATCGTGTGAAAAACTGGACCCATAATGCTGTCTATTAATTTGCCGCGGTTTTTCGAATAGTACATGTAATTTAGCGATTGCACCTGTTGCGGTTTCGAGATTTTTAGAAAATATTTGCCAGAATGCAGCTTGTGGGGTTGAAGGAGTGGGAAATTAAGTTTAAACAAAACCGGGAAATTCTTCCCTGGATTTCATGAGTGGTTGAGCTTGTCGACTGCGTGCCTGCAATTACAGTATACCCTGGTAATTGTAAAGGCAGATGTGTCACGTGGCAAGGCGGCCAGGAACGCCTGCAACATTTCAGTATGGTTTACATTCACCGCAAGTCACGTTTGTCTTCGATGAAAGAGATCGTTTACAGTTTATAAAATTGTGCAAAAAAACGACTAAACAGTAAAGGACAAAAAACGATCATGTACCAATGTTATGAAAAGATTTTATAGACGATGACCGGCCGCGGAAGAGGCAGGGGAGCTTTGGCAAGATGGGAAACCTCGAAATCTGTTGGCGAAAATACTACACGAGTCGGCTCTCCTATTTCAACGGCGGTGTTCCCTCTTTCACCCAAAGAAAGTTGGGAGGATGAGATTAAAAAGATACAGGAAGACACAACCAAGGATGACAGAATCGTAAGAGTCACGCATATTATCGATGTGGAAAACTTTTGGGCTCAGATAGGTAAGCTTAAGTGGACCGTAAAGTTGTACTCAGCTGTGACCTAGGAAGGACAATCCTGAACAAAAAATGTCTTTGTATTCCTAAACAATGTTTGCTTTTGTCTCACAACCCCTAGACACAACCAGAAAAACTTCCGACTCACAGCTTGAGTTTAGAATTACGTTTGATCTCTGTTCACTTTCTTGGGGGGATGAGCTTATTGATCATGAGTTAACCTTCACTTCACGGTCAATTACCTAATATAAAAGTAAACGATGGTTGCAAACCATTTGTCAACAAAGACGCTCAACCTGCCTCTTGATACAATAAAGCATTTACTCAGTCAATTCCAAGTCGACAGGGACATTGTCTACCTTCTCTGCCCTAGTGATTTCAATTAGAGACCAGCAGGTACCTGTTACAAATCACCATTTAATTTGCCGGGATAGCTTACCAGAATGTAAATGGCATCCCGGATGTTACGAAAACTAAGACCCTCGAAAACTAAGACCTAAGACCTAAGACCCGTCTTAGGTTTCGAGATTACGGAAACTAACACCCCCTTAAAATCGAATCCGTCGAAGTATGAAGTCAAATTGTAACTGAAATAGGTCTAACCTGTCAAATTATCTTCTGTCTGATTCTTTCCACCTAGTTTTAGGTCAAATTTAAAGGTAATCCATAAAACAATCAAAAACTATCACCTACGTGCTGACGATCCGCTTCTTCTAAAAATTTGGAAACACATCAGTATTGAGGCGGAGGCTAAGACGGGTCTTAGGTCTTAGGTCGTAGTTTTCGTAACACCCATGGCAACCCATGTTAGCTTGTCTCAACGCTTACTTCAAAAGTTATTGAAACTCCTGAAGTACCCTATCCTACTGTAAGATCACTAACTTCCCATTTCCCAGCCCTGTGAAAGCGAGGACCCTCATTGCCTTATTTTTAAAGTTGAATAACAAATGTTTTATGTAGTATTAGCTGATATGGAAAAGAAGACATAATAAAATTGGGAAGCTCATAGAACAGTGAACTGTGAATTTTTTTTTATATTGACCCCGGTATGTTCACATTAAAGTACACTGTAGTACTTTGAAGCTTAAATGAAATGTTTTGTAAATAGACAGTAGAATTCTTAATGAGAATCTTCGTAGATATTAAACCTCCTGTACATTTTACTCATGTTTTTGCATGTGGAATGTTTCAGAATGCATCCCTTAGGGTCATAGTCTGCTCACCCCCCCCACAAATGGCTGCTGAGAATCAAACCTAATTCCTTTACTTTTGGGTTTGTGGTCTAACGAATACACCAACCAGTTATACGTGAGCCGTGGAGCTATCAAAACATCAAATAAGGAGTAGTTATTTCATTTATTTTATTTTAATTTTCAGGCAGTTTAAATGAGTTGAAACAGTTTGACACTTACATGACAGCATTAAATTCATGGTGCAATGAACAAGAACATTCTGGTGTTCAACAAGCTCCTGTACATGGCCAGCCTGTGTGCGTCAGACATACAGAGACGTCTCAGTGGAGGAGAGCTCAGATTGCTAGACTTAGCAACAAGTAAATGACTTTGCAAATTTAATTTTGATCTTTGAGGTAGTGCATTTTTTACATGGACAGGTCAGATTCCATTTCAGGCTAAAATATGCTTAAAACTAGGCTGATTCTCAATTTCCTTTGTCCCCTTGGGATATAAGACAAAGGATGAAATCCAACCAAGGTTAAATCAAAAGTATTGATTGGTCTGTAATGTACAGTGTTACTTGTGTCTATTCAAAATGAAGTGAAAATCACAATCTGTTCCCTGCAGTTTTTGAAGGTGACACTTTTACACGCCAAGGAGAAATGTGAAAAGCAGTCATTCAGACTATTCATGTTATCATGATTGTAGTGTAACCAGGCAAAATCACTTAATCCTTAATAATCAAGGCCCTTTTGAGTGTACAAATATGTGAATTTGATAAGACAACTGTAGGAGAATACTTTTTATTTTCTTTGCATAGTATTAATATACATGTACTGTTGTGGTTTATTTTTTTACAAGCGTGGTGGATGTAATTTACTTGGATTATGGCCAGTCAGAGTGTGTACCTTTAAACAGGCTCTGTTCCTCCAGTCCTGGGGATATAATGTCTCGTCGGCCAATGGCACAGTATGTTAATCTGGAAGGTGTTCACCCTGTAAGTCAAACTACATTTGTCATTCAGTTTAACAAAAGAAACTGTTTATATTAACAACAATCTTATGGCACTTGAACAAAGTTAGGTGCTGTTAGCTTTGCAGTCCCTTTTGGGCCATAAACAGTAGGAGTCAAATTGAGATCCCCAGTGCTCAAAAAAAAAAAAAATTCAATTCCAGCTTTTCCTTTGGGCAAGCAGTTCTCACGTTTTACATGCCCGGGACAACTACTTGCTTGCCTTAGTTATGATGATTTTGTTGGATAATGACTTTCCTGGACCCTAAAAGTTAAAGGTTACTTGCCCAGCAGGAAAACCTACTTGTCCTTGTCTACGGGATGGGACATTTTTGCCAAGTTCAAGCATCTTCTTATAGCCTCTGGCTAAATTTGTTTTTGATAGTCCTGAGTTCAACTCAGGACTCAACATTGCTGGTTAAAAGGGTAGGAACTGCTTCCAGCCAGTTCAAATTCTTACAGTGTGTTACAACTTGTTTGTTTATTTCAATATTATTTGGTTCTGTCCCTATTAATTTTGTGCACCACAATGTAAACTACTCCGGTTGTACAATAATGTGTATAGCAATGGATTCTTTTGTAGGGTGGAACATTTTAATCTGATCTGGCCCACGTACACTGTCCCTGACCTCTGCCCTCTACAGCAGTTCATGCCCACTGTAAAAAAAAGGACTCTTTGCAGAGTTACACAAAAATGTTCCCCTGATGTGCCTGCTGGCCAGGCAGTACCGACCCATAGATTAATTTTGTTACAATCATTATACACTGTATCAAGTACATACATTCATAAATCTGTGTAATATGGCCTCACTCACTCATTCTTTCCTATAATTTTCATAAAGTTTATTGTTTTGTTGAAAGGTTGGTGAACATTGGTCTACTCAAGCCAAGAAAAGGTTCAGGGAGCTTGTTTCATCAAGCAACAAACTTAGAATACATTTTTCAGATGGTATTAGAGGGAAACTGTATATAAGGTTAGTTAAGTTACAAGTGAGATGAAAAAGAATTACGTAAAGAGTATGGATATTATGACTGTTTCTTTAAATGAAAAGCAGGGCTTGAAAAAAACTTGAATTCCAGATTGTTCTCAGAGTACAGTGTAGGACAAACTTTTGAACCCCTTTCTTAACATATAAATAGTTTGAAGATAACTTACCATGCACGTGGTATGTGAGCATAAAAAGTTACTGAATGCCAAGTGGGAAAATCTTCTTGCCCTGAATTACTGTATATTATCACTATTGCAGTTATGAATTTCATGTACACTTTCATTTGCTCATTGTTTAGTGGCCTGGCATTTTTATTTGGTAGCCATTTGCTTCTACTTTGTAACACACTCAATCCTTCACTTACAGCCATACATTTTAGGTACGAATCAGAGGAGGATCGAATAGTATCCCATGATGCATTTTTCCGGAAGCATCACGCAACATCGCAGTCATAGCAGATTCCATCTTGAAATAAGGTTGTTTTCTCGTCGGCTTTTTTCTCACTCAATTTCCAGTAAAAGTAAAAAATTACATTATTTCGTTATTTGACATGATTTCTCCGATTTGCAATGGCTTAAGAGCGAAGTTTCCACTTAGAAACATTTATTTTCACGGTTTCAATTAGTCTTCCCATCACAAAGTGTTCAGTGACCCACAACCAGGTCATGAATATTCAAGATTTTTTGGAATATATGTTGAAATCTTACAAATGTGGACCTCACGCCAGCAAAATGAAGTCCTGAATATTGTACAGGCCAAGAAGTACCCAGAAGTACCCACATTTTGAAGACTTTTTTGTCGACCAAAGATGGCTGAAATTTCGAATCTTTTATCACATTTCAACGCCATGTGTCATAATATATGTGTAAAGCCTGATGAAGGCTACAATCTGTTGGGCGCTTTTGAGAGCGCTTTATGCCGAAGCAATCACTTTGTATTTTCAAAGCGGTTATTTTTAAAAGGAATTTGACTATAAATATTTTAATTCGAAGAAGGAGCGGTGTATAACGGTGTGTTTCAGTGTGGAAAGAACCCAAAGAAAGGTACCACGCAGCATGCAAACCGGCACAACGTAAACTGAAGCCTGCTCAGAATTTGAAAAAGAAACATCATGCAGAAACTTTTATTTATTCAAAAGAACAGATCAGTATTCTGGCCAGGAAATTTCCTTGAAGATTGCTTGAGTCAGTACCGGGTAGACTGTGCTTCAGAGAATTGTTTGTCGCATCGATAGGTTAAATTTTATTTGTAACTGCCATTGTAAACTTCAGCTCCTTTGAGCGCGATGCTGTAATAAATTCTCCTTTGGTAATTAGCTTCACAGCGTAGCGGATGTTTTGTTGGAACCACTTTATAGATCAGTCATAGTTTTGGTTCTCCTCTGGCCTGGGTTCTCCTAGTGAACCTAGCGAAGCTTATCAATTGCGAGTCTTATAATTTGTGTTTACAGTGCGACCGAGCGTGGCACAAGTAGTTCTCGACAGATCAGTGAAATACATGTAAAACCCTTCTCAGTCAAAGCAACGCTGAAATTCTCCTTTAAAGCACAGTGAATATAAGCCAACTCGATAATCTCAAAAGCAGAAGCTGCTGAACCGAAACATGTTTGGAAACCATCCACATCGAGCACTGCGATCGACGTTCACTTCACGTGTGCTGAAGATTATTGATCATGATGTGTCACGTATGCAGTGATAATATAACATGAATCGAGGTGCATCATGGGATACTATTCGATCGTCGTCTGGGTACGAATTTTGGCCCACAAGGCAATGAGAGATGAAACACAATTAAATTTATCTAACAAATATCTCACCTGGCATACATTTAGCTCTTCCAAGTACATGTATGTGTAGGACTTTCTTACCTTTTCGACAATGACATGTTTTTTTTCCCCATTCAGAGACAGCAATGGACGAGAAAGTTCAATTGGCAACATCCTTATTTCTGAAGGCCTTGCTCAGGTACTTACAGTGTATGAAACAGCTAAAATACAATGTGCTAGTTTATGATGTTGCATGTACTGGAGGGGTTAAATCATATTATAAGTAATGGTAACAGGACTGAGTGGGGTCCAATTTGGTCTGTAATATTATTGTGCGAGTGATTAACAAAATCGGACGACTGCATAGCAGGAGTCCGATTTGTTTAAAAACAGACCAAATTGGACAACACAAATTTCTGTTAACATTTATTAATCATAACTTTAACAAAATTTGTGATATATAAGCCAGGCTCTTTTTTTAAAATAAAAACAGAAGAAATTCCAAATGTTTTTTGCTAGCAGTAAAAAAAAGCTGATATAAGTGCGTGCGTGATGGCGCATATTATCCAATTACTTAGGCATGACATGTACTGTCCTATTTTAAAAATTGTCCTTTTAAGGCTGTAATCAGGGCAGTTGATAGCCAATCAGATTTAAGAAATTAATTTTGTTATAGTTATGATTATAAGACTAATAAGATTGAAGTACATCACTATTATTAAGAAGTCCTTTGAAATACTAACAGGTTTATCTTGCTCAATAAAATAATCATCACCATCACCTGATGTGATCACATTCATAAGCTACAGAAACAATTTTTTTCTCCCATACAAATCCTTATATTATTTTTGAATGTTAAGCAACAGCGCCGATGGTCAAACTCGTCCCAGGGTCTTCTCACTTGAAAAGCGAGAACACCCTGGGGACAAGGTCGTGCCGATAGTCATATGTTGAGCTTGGGCCACCTGTGGTGAGACAAACAATAATCAAGCCCTATCATCAGTGACAGGTTTATGTTGTAAAGAGATAGTGTACAAAAGCCGGATAATAGTGGAGCTTTTTTGCTCATTCTTGCTGGTATAGTTCATGTAAGCATAATAATCATATCCTTCATCTTCAAAAAGCAATTCTCCTGTAAGCATCTTAAGATTCAAAATGGGACAACAGAGCTATATAAAGATTGTACATGTACACTGTAAGGTTTATTTTCAAAAGCAGATATAATTTGGTAAATCATTGGGTAGAGTTACTTGCACAGAGGTCTCATAATGAGCTTCTAGTTGATTCATGTATTCACAAGGGCTGTCACTAAGGGACTTGGGGCCGGGAATTTCCCTAGTTGGTTGCTTTGAACATGACCCCTGGCTTCTAACGTAGAAAAACAGAAAAACAGGTTCTCTACCTACTTGTTGTATTTACCCGGCAACTTAAAAAATCTTAGATCACAAGACCAGGGCTGCGTAAAAAAGACCTCTATGGTTGCAGGTAATTATGGTAGATTTTAACGCTATCCTCTGGAAAATTATGTGAATCGATTTTCTTTATAATTCAGGGTTCTGTTGATGCAGGAGCTGGTTCAGGATCTTGGAGAAAAGAGAGCAGTTTCAAAGAAAAGTAAGTAATGTGTTTACTTTTAGCAAATGCTCTCCTAGTGACATCCTTGCTATATATAATGAATAGGGACCTTATGATCTTATAATGTGATGGCTGTGAAAACGTGACTGAAAAACCATCTTTTCATCCTTTCAAACTTTCTCTCAATAATTTAGTCTTTTAAAAGATTGGAAATTAAGCTGGAGCTGAAGAAAGAGAGGACCATGTATGGTAAAATGTGTTACCTTTTGAATTACGTTCTCAAGGGAACGTAAAATTTCATGTTGTACATGTTACAGATGTGCAGGGGTGACAAAGGAATTGACAAACAAGCATAATTCATGTGCAGAGCTGTTGTTGTTTTGCTTATTACACCTGTGGGGTTATTGACATGCTCGTTGCCATCTCCATCATTGGGGTCCCTTAGCCTATTAAGACAATAGGGGGAGTAGGGAAAGAAGTTGATCAAGGTTAAATGAGGGTACTGCTTATTCAAGGACACAAAGTTTAATCTGAGTGATAACTGTGTTTGTTGTTGTAGGTTATTTCATTCTGAGGAACCTAACAGTTTAGACCAGCAGTGGGAGTCGCTCACATTCCACCCAACACCATCACAGCAACCATCATGGATAACAAATAGCACATCTACTACAGACCAACTTAACATGAAAAGAAATGCTCTCAGTGGCTCATTGCTTTCATCTAAGGAACAATCTCTGCAAGGAGGGTCATTATATTTTGAGAACGCAGTTGATTCAAAACGAGATTCAAATGATATTTCATTAAACAACGTCCCCCTGCCACCGAGTCCAGACATGTTTGCACAGAGTAAGGAAAGTGATCACCTAGAAACTTTCAATCTGAAAAGAGCTGATTCTGGACCTGTTGAAGCACTGCGCATGGCCAGGCCTCATCTGGCAAGTCCAAATGAATTTCTAAGCCATTCCAAAGGGCAGGATTCAGGAATTTCAAGTGGTAAGACAGATGCTCTTGTTTGCAGTGATGCATACTTACATGTAGGATTATAAATTCAAAAAACCTGATCTCTCCCTGGTCATTCTTCAAATTTTAGGGAGTTTTAAATAAGCACCCACACTCTCTGTTAAGCTCCCACCCCTCCCTGTCACCCCCCACCCCTCCCTGTCACCCCCCACCCCTTCCTGCCTTGTCTACTGGCAGTAAAACCAAGGTGCCTTGGGGGGGGGGGGGGGGGGGTATCAGGGTGTTTTATAGTAGTAAATGTTAATTTATTCTCATTTTGTTTGTCATTTTTTACTCACTCAGTGTCAAAGGCAGAAATGCAATCAAAGTATCACCCCCCTAATATTAAAAATGCTAGGGCAAAGAAAAGCAAAACAGCTACTATGAACTCAGAACC